AACCATCTGTCACTAGCCATGCCATGCCCGCCATCAACCATTTGTCACTGGGCAGGCCATGCCCACCATCAACCATCTGTCACTAGGATGCATCAATGATTTTTCTGGCACATACACCATACTTTATGAACATAAAAATGATTACATGTTTTGCGGCCCACTCTAAAACAGACTTCTTAAACATCGATCTGGCCAACTAAAACACATTTTTCACATATGGAACAGATCACATGTTCTGTGGCCCACTCTAAGAATGACTACTCAAACATGGATCAGATCTCATACTGCATGGCCCACTCTAAGAATGACTATTCAAACATGGATCAGATCTCATACTGTATGCCCCACTCTAAGAATGACTACTCAAACATGGATCAGATCTCATACTGTATGGCCACTCTAAGAATGACTACTCAAACATAGATCAGATCTCATACCGTATAGCCCACTCTAAGAATGACTACTCAAACATGGATCAGATCTCATACTGTATGACCCACTCTAAGAAAGACTACTCAAACATGTATCAGATCTCATACTGTATGGCCCACTCTAAGAACGACTACTCAAACATAGATCAGATCTCATACTGTATGGCCCACTCTAAGAATGACTACTCAAACGTGGATCAGATCTCATACTGTATGGCCCACTCTAAGATATACTTCTTACACATTGATCAAATCACATGTTTTGTGGCTTACATTTATTACCGAAGATGATGCGGTCAGAGCCCCAGTGACTACATTGAGGTCAGTGTGCTACTGGAACCAGCCACTGGCCTCCCACATCAGGTCTCCCTAGTGTTCTCCACATATGCCCCACACATGGAGCCATTTGTTTCCCCAGCAACAGCAAAACCTCAAGGATAAGCCAGCCCATGATGGAGTCAGAAAAGAACCTACTCCCACAGCATGTTGAAGAGATAGCCATGCCAGTCTGGCCACACATGTCTCTGTTCTTCAACTCTTTACAAGTAGACAGAGGATACAATCACTTGGTGTACTGTGTGTGTGTGCGCTAGGACTGTCAGAGAGCTTGTGCTGGCTTCCACCTCTGACCAACCTGTCTAGCTGCTTCCCCACTTGCCCTTACATATTCCAGATACCGTGGAGTTGTCCTTTCTCACCCTGTTGCTAGATACAAGGATTGCTCTTCCCGTTGCTCCATCACTAGTCATCTATTGTTGCTCCATCACTAGTCATACCTTGTTGCTCCATCACTAGTCATCTCTTGTTGCTCCATCACTAGTCATCTCTTGTTGCTCCATCACTAGTCATCTCTTGTTGCTCCATCACTAGTCATCCCTTGTTGCTCCATCACTAGTCATCCCTTGTTGCTCCATCACTAGTCATCCCTTGTTGCTCCGTCACTAGTCATCCCTTGTTGCTCCGTCACTAGTCATCTCTTGTTGCTCCATCACTAGTCATCCCTTGTTGCTCCATCACTAGTCATCTCTTGTTGCTCCATCACTAGTCATGCCTTGTTGCTCCATCACTTGTCACCTGATACTGCTCCATCACTTGTCACCTCACACTGCTCCATCACTTGTCACCTGATACTGCTCCATCACTTGTCACCTCACACTGCTCCATCACTTGTCACCTCACACTGCTCCATCACTTGTCACCTCACACTGCTCCACCACTTGTCACCTCACACTGCTCCATCACTTGTCCTCTCATACAGCTCCATCACTTGTCACCTCACACTGCTCCATCACTTGTCACCTCACACTGCTCCATCACTTGCCACCTCACACTGCTCCATCACTTGCCACCTCACACTGCTCCATCACTTGCCACCTCATACTGCTCCATCACTAGTCAACTCATACTGCTCCATCAACAGTCACCTCTTGTTGCTCCATCACTTGTCACCTCACACTGCTCCATCACTAGTCATCTCTTGTTGCTCCATCACTTGTCACCTCACACTGCTCCATCAACAGTCACCTCTTGTTGCTCCATCAACAGTCCCTCTTGTTGCTCCATCACTTGTCACCTCACACTGCTCCATCACTTGTCACCTCACACTGCTCCATCACTTGTCACCTCACACTGCTCCATCATTTGTCACCTCACACTGCTCCATCATTTGTCACCTCACACTGCTCCATCACTTGCCACCTCATACTGCTCCATCACTAGTCAACTCATACTGCTCCATCAACAGTCACCTCTTGTTGCTCCATCACTTGTCACCTCACACTGCTCCATCATTTGTCACCTCACACTTCTCCATCACTTGTCACACAGCTGCTGGCCCACATGCACAGAGCAAGTACATGTATGTACACAGCTGCTGGCCCACATGCACAGAGCAAGTACATGTATGTAAACAGCTGCTGGCCCACATGCACAGAGCAAGTACATGTATGTACACAGTGGCTGGCCCACATGCACAGAGCAAGTACATGTATGTACACAGTGGCTGGCCCACATGCACAGAGCAAGTACATGTATGTACACAGCTGCTGGCCCACATGCACAGAGCAAGTACATGTATGTACACAGTGGCTGGCCCACATGCACAGAGCAAGTACATGTATGTACACAGTGGCTGGCCCACATGCACAGAGCAAGTACATGTATATACAAGAAGATATTTACACATGACAAGAAATAAACACAGAGTGTCAGCCACAGAATGGTCCACTCAAATGTTTCATCTCTCCCAACAAAAACTGACTGGCCAGCTCTACAGTCTATATACACATGTCAATATATTATATCTATGTGTGTGTATGTATGTATATGTGTGTGTATATATATACACACACACACACACACACAAATATACATACATACATAAACTGTTGCATTTTGTTATGAACATTTCATAAACCATCAAGTGAACTGTTGCATTCTATAGGAAATACTTTAAAATAAACACATCAATTGCAGAGAGCATCAGTTGACCAGAAGCCAACACTTAAACATAAGAACATAGCAGGTTGCCAATGATCATTGACAAATAAGTTAAAATATCAGTTATCAAGGTATTTAGAAAAATACAAAATGCAAAAAAATATCGGTCATGACTTAGATGTGCCCACTAGTGTGACACATCCCATGCCATGTCCCTCAGTGACCAAACACACCCCAGACACACTTCTAGCACCACATCTCTCAGCTCAGGCAGGCACACCCCACAGTCTCACTTCTCACACTATATCTCTCAGCTTGTCAACAAACTGGTGGCTGAGGCAGACACACCCTACAGTCTCACTTCTCACACCACATGAACAAACTGGTGGCTGAGGCAGACACACCCCACGGTCTCACTTCTCACACCACATGAACAAACTGGAGGCTGAGGCAGACACACCCCACAGTCTCACTTCTCACACCACATGAACAAACTGGTGGCTGAGGCAGACACACCCCACGGTCTCACTTCTCACACCACATGAACAAACTGGAGGCTATGGCAGACACACCCCATGGTCACACTTTTCATACTATATCTCTCAGCTTGTCAACAAACTGGAGGCTGAGGCAGACACACCCCACAGTCTCACTTCTCACACCACATGAACAAACTGGTGGCTGAGGCAGACACACCCCACAGTCTCACTTCTCACACCACATGAACAAACTGGAGGCTGAGGCAGACACACCCTACAGTCTCACTTCTCACACTATATCTCTCAGCTTGTCAACAAACTGGAGGCTGAGGCAGACACACCCCACAGTCTCACTTTTCATACTATATCTCTCAGCTTGTCAACAAACTGGGGGCACAGGACATCTAGTGTTAAATTCACATTCATTGAAAACATTCAGTCACTGGAACACATCTCCTGTGTGTGGGCAACAATTAATGTCACAAAGAACAACAAGAAACGCACAAACATGCAGCCTGCACAGACAGCATGGATCTTTTTACCAAGAGAACTCGTGCAAAGGTTAGCAAACTGACTGACAAAACAACACGGAGGACTGCACACACAGACATGGATGACGGCACACACAGACACGGATGATGCACACACAGACACGGATGACTGCACACACAGACACGGATGACTGCACACACAGACACGGATGACGGCACACACAGACATGGATGACGGCACACACAGACATGGATGACTGCACACAGGCATGGATGACTGCACACACAGACATGGATGACTGCACACACAGACACGGATGACTGCACACACAGATGACTGCACACACAGATGACTGCACACACAGACACGGATGACTACACACACAGACACGGATGACTGCACACAGACACGGATGACTGCACACAGACACGGATGACTGCACACAGACAGTGAGGACTGCACACACGCAGACACACACATGTATACACAGTCAGTGGCAGTTTACAATGTTGTAAGCGTTAACATAATGGCACCAATATCTGAATAAAATATTATGCAATATGAATAGTTTCATAAAGTCCTAAATGTGCAACATAACAAAATTCAAAGTAGCATAAAATCACCAGATCATTCTGGCCTACAAACAAGCAAACTAATTACATAATTCTATAGTCAATTGACAAAACAATCCTGAAGTCCAAAGGAAATCCACTTAGCTGACACCACAAAATCTGCTACCACTACAAGACTTGCTGGGATAAAAACAACAGTATTTTCATATAGCCTAACACAAACACAATCTCCTGCACAGATAACAATGTCGCTGTTGAGCCAGTACCCAACAAATTCTCTTTGGGGGAGTCACATATGTATTACATTCATTCAAAGCACTGATCAGTGGTACAATGTATGTGAAACACGGCCTTGCAAGCTCATGTCTCACTTGACATTGTCATGCCGTTCATGTCTTGGCATCTAGTGCATGTCTTGGCATCTAGTTCATGTCTTGGCATCTAGTGCATGTCTTGGCATCTAGTGCATGTCTTGGCATCTAGTACATGTCTTGGCATTTAGTTCATGTCCTGACATCTAGTTTATGTCTGACTAGACAGGCTGAAAAATTCTTGTGAGGTAAGATCCAAGCAATAGAGTACTATAACTACTTCTGGCGTAAGTCTGGTTTTCGTCGGTCAAACTGATTGTTGAGCCTGTTCTCTTTAGAGTTTCTGCGGCCACCATTTGGCTGGCGAGCTGGTGCTTGGCCTTCGGATCTAGGCATGCCATCCTTAGATGAGCCTCGCTGTGTGGGCCGGTGGCCATATTGCTGGCTCCCCTGATAATTACCATGCTCTCGGAAAGCACCAGCAGACTGCCGAACGTTTGCGGGGCTGCTAGCATTACTGCAACTGTGGGCCAGATTTGACTCACTTGGAGCTCCCGAGTTAGAATTTGGCACCATCCCGCCTGATGATAGGCCTTCTCCATTTCCTGGGTTGGTGGCAGCCTCTCGATTCTTGTGTGCCAGAATTTGCGCGTATGAGAGCTTTGGAGCTTCCTAAACAAACAAACAAACAAATCATAAAGAATAGTGTAAAAAAGTGTGACTACTGACAGATTCTAGAGACATATGACGGTATAGGAAACAAATGCAGATGTGATGAAGTAAGACTTGATGGGCCATCAGGTCAGAATACAGGATGGTAAGGAATAAAAGATTTGATTGTGGCACATCAATGATGCAAAGGATGGGGGGGGGGGGGGGGGGGGGGGGGGGGGGGGGGCGTAACGATAAGGTTAGTACAGAATAGGCAATGACACAAGCATACAACTGGCAAGTATGATGTGTGATGAGAATAAATTATGACAGTCATTGAGACAATTACTGAGATCTGATAAGTAATGAGATATACATCTGACGGGAAATGGGGTATTTATATAAATCATGGGATCAAAATCAAAGCAGTGAGGTCAATACACAATGTCAGCTCTCAGAAAAGCAATGACTTACAGAGGTGGAGACAACAACTGACAGCTGCTGAAGGTTGTAGGCAGGCTGCTGAGCGGCAGGCTTGTTCTGCATTTGTGTCTGCAGCTGCAGTGAGTTCTGTCTGTTGTCAGTCTGTCTGGGTGCTTGAAGAGCAGCAGATGGCAGCATTGGGGCACTGACCTTCTGTTGTCTAAAGTGATGAAGAGGAAAAACAACTATGTTACAACATATTTGTATCCACCTACCAACATATTTGTACCCTTCTAACACGTCACAACATATCTGTACCCATCTACCACGTCACAACATATTTGTACCCAGAAAACATGACAAGTACAACTGACCAGAAAAAATGACAAAAGTACAACTGAACAGGAAACATGACACAAGTACAACTGACCAGGAAACATGACACAAATACAACTGACAAGAAAACATGACAAGTACAACTGACCAAAAAACATGACACAAATACAACTGACCAGGAAACATGACAAGTACCAGGTCACAACATATTAATACCCATCTACAATGTCACAACATATTTATACCCATCTACCACGTCACAACATATTTACACCCATCTACCACGTCACAACATATTTGTGCCCATCTACCACATCACAACATATCTGAACCCATCTACCATGTCACAACATATCTGAACCCATCTACCATGTCACAACATATTTGTACCCATCTACCACGTCACAACATATCTGAACCCATCTACCATGTCACAACATATTTGTACCCATCTACCACGTCACAACATATCTGAACCCATCTACCATGACACAACATATCTGTACCCATCTACCACGTCACAACATATCTGTACCCGTCTACCACGTCACAACATATTTGTACCCATCTACCACGTCACAACATATTTATACCCATCTACCATGTCACAACATATTTATACCCATCACCACGTCACAACATATTTACACCCATCTACCACGTCACAACATATTTGTACCCATCTACCACGTCACAACATATCTGAACCCATCTACCATGTCACAACATATCTGTACCCATATACCAGGTGACAACATATTTATACCCATCTATCATGTCACAACATATCTGTAATCATCTACCATGTCACAACATATTTATACCCATCTACCATGACACAACATATCTGTACCTATCTACTATGTCACAACATATTTATACCCATATACCATGTCACAACATATCTGTACCCATCTACTATGTCACAACATATTTATACCCATCTATCATGTCACAACATATCTGTAATCATCTACCATGTCACAACATATTTATACCCACCTACCATGTCACAACACATCTGTACCCATCTACTATGTCACAACATATTTATACCCATATACAATGTCACAACATATCTGTACCTATCTACTATGTCACAACATATTTGTACCCATCTACTATGTTACGACATATTTGTATCCATCTATCACATCACAACATATATGTATCAATCTATTACATCACAACATACCTATATCCACCAATCATGTCACAACATATTTTTATCCATCTATCATATCACACCTATATCCACCAATCATGTCACAACATATGTGTATCCATCTATCACATCACAACATTTCTATATCCATCTATCACATCACAACATAAATATATCCACCAATCATGTCACAACATATTTGTATCCATCTATCACATCACAACATATCTGTATCCATCAATCACATCACTCTATACCTATATCCACCAATCATGTCACAACATATCTGTATCCATCTATCACATCACAACATACCTAAATCCACCAATCATGTCACAACATATTTGTATCAATCTATCACATCACAACATATCTGTATCCATCTATCACATCACAACATACCTATATCCACCAATCATGTCACAACATATTTGTATACATCTATCCCATCACAACATAGCTGTATCCATCTATCGCATCACAACATACCTATATCCACCAATCATGTCACAACATATCTGTATCCATCTATCACATCACAACATATCTGTATCCATCTATCACATCACAACATACCTAAATCAACCAATCATGTCACAACATATTTGTATCAATCTATCACATCACAACATATCTGTATCCATCTATCACATCACAACATACCTATATCCACCAATCATGTCACAACATATTTGTATACATCTATCCCATAACAACATAGCTGTATCCATCTATCGCATCACAACATACCTATATCCACCAATCATGTCACAACATATCTGTATCCATCTATCACATCACAACATATCTGTATCCATCTATCACATCACAACATACCTATATCCACCAATCATGTCACAACATATTTGTATCCATCTATTTGACTTGACACAACATGGGCACACAAAGAAGAGAACAACAAAGTCTACTGACCTTGACTGTGATGGAAGCACTAGCGGTTCAGCCATGGAAGACAATGAATGCAGTTCTGACTGGATAATTTTCGTGTCAAACAGGCCTGCGTCTATCTCCACATCATCCTGTGATGAAGAGGTGACATCATCATCATCTAGGCAGTGAGCATCCACCAGTGACGACTGGGACAGAGCCTGATGATGCCCGCCTACCACACCTAAACTCAGAGGTGTTGGGGGCGTGGCCACAGGGCTAGGGGTTGAAGAGGAAGCTCTCTGAACACTTAGGTTGCCGAGTCCAGTCCCGCGTGAAATTCCTCGCACAACATCAGCCATTCTGCTCTCATGTGAGACTTCAGAGTTAGACATGCTGTTCTGTAGCAGAGGAAATAACCACAGAAATATGTTCAATCACAACATCTCTATCTGCACAATTTTTCCCCATGTCACACAATTTACAAACAAGACCTTTTTCACTGGCTCAATTTCTATTATATTTTTAAAAAAAAAACGTTCTCTAATCTGAAGTATAGGTGTGATTGATGATACTAATGGACAAGAAATAGTTGCAACCCTCTCTCTACTTCTATGCTTACAGAACAGGCCACATGGATCCAACTCAATCTGATGATGTGTGGGCTCAGCTCTGACTGTAGCGATCTCTCTGGGGATGGGAATTTTACAGTAACACTCAGGTCTAGGTGACCTGCCCACACATCACTGAATCACCCTCTCACACATCACCGCTTCACCCTGCCTCACATCACCAGGTCACCATCACACACATCACTGGATCACAAGTACAACTGACCATGAAACACGACACAAGTACAATTGACCAGGAAACAAGACAAGTACAATGACCAGAAAACCAGACACGTATACTGACCAGGAAACATGATACAAGTACAATTGACCAGAAAACATGACAAGTACAACTGACCAGAAAAAAATGACAAAAGTACAACTGACCAGAAAAAAATGACAAAAGTACAACTGACCAGAAAAAAATGACAAAAGTACAACTGACCAGGAAACAAGACAAGTACAATGACCAGAAAACCAGACACGTATACTGACCAGGAAACATGATACAAGTACAATTGACCAGAAAACATGACAAGTACAACTGACCAGAAAAAAATGACAAAAGTACAACTGACCAGGAAACATGACACAAGTACAACTGACCAGGAAACATGACACAAGTACAACTGACAAGAAAACAGGAAAAAATGACAAAAGTACAACTGACCAGGAAACATGACACAGGTACAACTGACCAGGAAACTTGACACAAGTACAACTGACCAGAAAACATGACAAGTACAACTGACCAAAAAACATGACACAAATACAACTGACCAGGAAACCTGACAAGTACAGCTGACCAGAAAACATGACACAAGTACAACTGACCAGGAAACATGACAAGTACAGCTGACCAGAAAACATGGCACAAGTACAACTGACCAGGAAACAAGACAACTGACCAGAAAATATGACACAAATACAACTGACCAGGAAACATGACACAAGTACAACTGACCCGGAAACATGACACAAGTACAGCTGACCAGAAAACATGGCACAAGTACAACTGACCAGGAAACAAGACAATTACAACTGACCAGAAAATATGACACAAGTACAACTGACCAGGAAACATGACACAAGTACAACTGACCAGGAAACATGACACAAGTACAACTGACCAGGAAACATGACAAGTACAGCTGACCAGAAAACATGGCACAAGTACAACTGACCAGGAAACAAGACAACTGACCAGAAAATATGACACAAATACAACTGACCAGGAAACATGACACAAGTACAACTGACCCGGAAACATGACACAAGTACAGCTGACCAGAAAACATGGCACAAGTACAACTGACCAGGAAACAAGACAATTACAACTGACCAGAAAATATGACACAAGTACAACTGACCAGGAAACATGACACAAGTACAACTGACCAGGAAACATGACACAAGTACAACTGACCAGGAAACATGACACAAGTACAGCTGACTAGAAAATATGACACAAATACAACTGACCAGGAAACATGACACAAGTACAGCTGACCAGGAAACATGACACAAGTACAGCTGACCAGAAAACATGACACAAGTACAACTGACCAGGAAACAAGACAAGTACAACTGACCAGAAAACATGACACAAGTACAACTGAACAAGAAACACGACAAGTACATGTAAACTCACCAGACTTCCTGGCAGCGGTGGGAAGGAGTTGGCCTCCATAGTAAAATGATCCACAGCTGTCAGATTCTGGGAGCTAAAATGAGTTCGGTTAGACTGGCTGCGCTCTGACCGCTGCAACAGACATCAATGGCCTAGGGGTCAATAGATCTTCTAAACACAAATAGCCAGTTTCTAGTGACTGCTACATAACCTGCTGATAGCTGTAGCCAGTTTATAATGACTGCTAAACATAGCCTGCTGATAGCTGTAGCCAGTTTATAATGACTGCTAAACATAGCCTGCTGATAGATAGTTGTAGCCAGTTTCTAGTGACTGCTAAACATAGCCTGCTGATAGATAGTTGTAGCCAGTTTCTAGTGACTGCTAAACATAGCCTGCTGATAGATAGTTGTAGCCAGTTTATAATGACTGCTAAACATAGCCTGCTGATAGATAGTTGTAGCCAGTTTCTAATGACTGCTAAACATAGCCTGCTGATAGCTGTAGCCAGTTTCTAATGACTGCTAAACATAGCCTGCTGATAGATAGTTGTAGCCAGTTTCTAGTGACTGCTAAACATAGCCTGCTGATAGATAGTTGTAGCCAGTTTCTAGTGACTGCTAAACATAGCCTGCTGATAGATAGTTGTAGCCAGTTTCTAGTGACTGCTAAACATAGCCTGCTGATAGATAGTTGTAGCCAGTTTCTAATGACTGCTAAACATAACCTGCTGATAGATAGTTGTAGCCAGTTTCTAATGACTGCTAAACATAACCTGCTGATAGCTGTAGTCAGTTTCTAATGACTGCTAAACATAGCCTGCTGATAGATAGTTGTAGCCAGTTTCTAGTGACTGCTAAACATAGCCTGCTGATAGATAGTTGTAGCCAGTTTCTAGTGACTGCTAAACATAGCCTGCTGATAGATAGTTGTAGCCAGTTTCTAGTGACTGCTAAACATAGCCTGCTGATAGATAGTTGTAGCCAGTTTCTAATGACTGCTAAACATAGCCTGCTGATAGATAGTTGTAGCCAGTTTCTAGTGACTGCTAAACATAGCCTACTGATAGATAGTTGTAGCCAGTTTCTAATGACTGCTAAACATAGCCTGCTGATAGATAGTTGTAGCCAGTTTCTAGTGACTGCTAAACATAGCCTGCTGATAGATAGTTGTAGCCAGTTTCTAGTGACTGCTAAACATAACCTGCTGATAGCTGTAGTCAGTTTCTAATGACTGCTAAACATAACCTACTGCTATATAGGTGTAGCCAGTTTCTAATGACTGCTAAACATAACCTACTGATATATAGCTGTAGCCAGTATCTAATGACCGCTAAACATAGCCTGCTGAAATATAGCTGTAGCCAGTTTCTAGTGACTGCTAAACATAACCTACTGATAGATATCTGTAGCCAGTTTCTAGTGACTGCTAAACATAGCCTACTGATAGATAGCTGTAGCCAGTTTCTAGTGACTGCTAAACATAACCTACTGATAGATAGTTGTAGCCAGTTTCTAGTGACTGCTAAACATAACCTACTGATAGATAGCTGTAGCCAGTTTCTAGTGACTGCTAAATATAGCCTGCTGATAGATAGCTGTAGCCAGTTTCTAATGACTGCTAAACATAACCTGCTGATGGACAGCTGTAGCCAGTTTCTAATGACTGCTAAACATAACCTGCTGATAGACAGCTGTAGCCAGTTTCTAGTGACTGCTAAACATAACCTGCTGATAGAGCTGTAGCCAGTTTCTAGTGACTGCTAAACATAGCCTACTGATAGACAGCTGTAGCCAGTTTCTAATGACTGCTAAACATAGCCTACTGATAGATAACTGGCTTTATCAATCTTCTGTTGGAATCACAGACAGTATGAAGTGTCAACTAGAATTGACCAACCAACTGATTCCGTGATGGTGCAGTGCTGGCTCTCTCACAAGCTGGTGGCCCACTTCTACATCACAGAGCTAGCTATTCTCTGTCTGCCATCAACACATTGTTTGCCCAGGCTTTCTATCTCTCATGATGATGATGATGATGATGATGATGAGTACAGATACTCCCCCGGGTCTGGTACTCACATCATTGCTCACCATGTGTGTGTGTATCATGTGTTACGTTGCGTGCAACCACTAGTGATGGCATCTATGATGTTTAATAAGGGTTAAAATGTACATATAAAACAAATATAAACATTTTTAAATAGTATTCTGGTCTGTAACCATTAACACAGCCAGGGTTAGTCTGTATGGAGACAAAGATTTAAAAAAAAAAAAATGTGGGCCGGGGTGTGTTTGTGTGTGCACACGAGCGCACGTCAGCTGACATGCAGCAAGAAATTCAATCAGATGAGTATCAACTAGGGCTGTACCGAATATTCGCTTCGTATTCGCTTCGGGGCCGAATAGTGGACCCAATAACTATTTGGTATTCGACCGAATAGTTGCGGTCGGGCTGAATACGAATAGTGGTTACCTCAAAACCGTTTCTGGACTGGTGGAAAAAAACCTTGGTTTATACTGTCAAGCGTTATCTTTGTGCACCACCTACGAGCGTACCAAGTGCCCCTTTATTCCCATCTTGTATGTGTTGCGAGTAGTGTTTTTAGGTGTGTTGCTGTAGAAACAAAATGCAACACTTAAAAATGTAAGAGGGGCAGAAAAGCAAGTGTTCTAGGCTTGATTTCATTGAGTGGAGTCCTCTTCGTTGATTGTTTGAAGTAACGGGAGTTCGTCATCATTTATGGGTGTCGTAACTGTTCTTTCGTCGTCTCGTTGAAACGGCAGCGGCTGAATGTTTTGATCCACGTTCGGTTTCTTCGTTGTCTTTGTTGTTTGATCTTCTGGCGTTGGCGTTTCCGCTGACCCCTTGAGCTTGCGGGTGGGTGGGGGGGTGTGGGGGGCTGGACGACTTGTGAGGACGGCATTGTTTTCTTCGTCGGCGTTATTTTTGTTTTTGATGTTTCGCCTTGCGGGTTTTTATCTTGACTCTCTGTATTTGTTGTATTTTCCTGTTTAGTACAGCTGGAAATATCTTCAGTGAGAAAAAAAAAGCTGCCCTAATGCTGACAACATGGAACGAAGGTTTTTCATGGAGGTGTGTCAGCACACGAACTAATACGTGCTGCAGGAGATCGCAGATTGTGGCGAGGCATAATCGCCCATGCCAGCCGGCAAAGCACAGGATGATGATGATTCACTATTCGTATTCGGCCGAATAGTTGGTCCAGCTATTCGTATTTGGCCGAATAGTGAAAATCACTATTCGGTACAGCCCTAGTATCAACACACATCTAGGATTTACATACGAGTGTAGGATTTATATACAAGTGTAAGATTTATATACAAATAGTATTTATATACGAGTGTAGGATTTGTGTTTGAGTGTCCACAGAATCACCCAACCACTCACACAACAGACATGACAGGATCACCCACGCAACCACTCACACAACAGACACATGACAGGACCACACACGCAACCACTCACACAACAGACATGACAGGTCCACCCACCCAACCACTCACACAACAGACAAATGACAGGACCACCCACGCAACCACTCACACAACAGACACATGACAGGACCACCCACGCAACCACTTACACAACAGACACATGACAGGACCACCCACTCACATAACAGACACATCACAGGACCACCCACGCAACCACTCACACAACAGACACATGACAGGACCACCCACGCAACCACTCACACGACAGGACCACCCACACAACAGATACATGACAGGACCACCCACCCAACAGACACATGACAGGACCACCCACCCAACTTACATATGACAGGACCACCCATGCAACCACTCACACAACAGACACATGACAGGACCACCCACCCAACCACTCACACAACAGAACCACCCATGCAATCACTCACACAACAGACACATGACAGGACCACCCACCCAACGACTCACAACAGAACCACCCATGCAACCATTTACACAACAGACACATGACAGGACCACCCACCCAACCACTCACACAACAGACATATGACAGGACCACCCATGCAACCACTTACACAACAGACACATGACAGGACCACCCACCCAACCACTCACACAACAGAACCAAGCATGCAACCACTCACACAACAGACACATGACAGGACCACCCACCCAACAACTTACACAACAGACATATGACAGGACCACCCACCCAACCACTCACACAACAGACACATGACAGGACCACCCAACCAACCACTCACACAACAGACACATGACAGGACCACCCAACCAACCACTCACACAACAGGCACATGACAGGACCAGCCAACCAACAACTCACTCAACAGACATGACAGGACCACCCACGCAACCACTCACACAACAGACATATTACAGGACCACCCACCCAACAACTCACTCAACAGACACATGACAGGACCACCCACCCAACAACTCACTCAACAGACATATTACAGGACCACCCACCCAACAACTCACACAACAGACACATGACAGGACCACCCACCCAACCACTCACTCAACAGACACATGACAGGACCACCCACCCAACAACTCACTCAACAGACACATGACAGGACCACCCACCCAACAACTCACTCAACAGACACATGACAGGACCACCCACCCAACCACTCACTCAACAGACACATGACAGGACCACCCACCCAACCACTCACTCAACAGACACATGACAGGACCACCCACCCAACCACTCACTCAACAGACACATGACAGGACCACCCACCCAACCACTTACACAACAGACACATGACAGGACCACCCACCCAACCACTCACACAACAGAACCAAGCATGCAACCACTCACACAACAGACACATGACAGGACCACCCACCCAACAACTTACACAACAGACATATGACAGGACCACCCACCCAACCACTCACACAACAGACACATGACAGGACCACCCAACCAACCACTCACACAACAGACACATGACAGGACCACCCAACCAACCACTCACACAACAGGCACATGACAGGACCAGCCAACCAACAACTCACTCAACAGACATGACAGGACCACCCACGCAACCACTCACACAACAGACATATTACAGGACCACCCACCCAACAACTCACTCAACAGACACATGACAGGACCACCCACCCAACAACTCACTCAACAGACATATTACAGGACCACCCACCCAACAACTCACACAACAGACACATGACAGGACCACCCACCCAACCACTCACTCAACAGACACATGACAGGACCACCCACCCAACAACTCACTCAACAGACACATGACAGGACCACCCACCCAACAACTCACTCAACAGACACATGACAGGACCACCCACCCAACCACTCACTCAACAGACACATGACAGGACCACCCACCCAACCACTTACTCAACAGACACATGACAGGACAGTGCCAGCTTAAACTAGAACACTGGTCATTTTCAACAGCAGACAATTATCCTCGACCCTTAGCATGCTCCTCCCCACAAGCTTACCTGAGTGCGCACACTGTCCTCTCTTTTCCTTCGAATTCTCCTGGAGACACACACATAAGCAAGATTTAGGGAACATAAGAGACAGATTCTACTACAAGCAACAGGCAGACAAGTGTAACAGGCTGACAAGTGGAACAGGCAGACAACAGGCTGACAAGTGCAACAGGCAGACAACAGGCTGACAAGTGCAACAGGCTGACAAGTGGAACAGGCAGACAACAGGCTGACAAGTGCAACAGGCTGACAAGTGGAACAGGCAGACAACAGGCTGACAAGTGCAACAGGCTGACAAGTGGAACAGGCAGACAACAGGCTGACAAGTGCAACAGGCTGACAAGTGGAACAGGCAGACAACAGGCTGACAAGTGCAACAGGCTGACAAGTGGAACAGGCAGACAACAGGCTGACAAGTGCAACAGGCTGACAAGTGGAACAGGCAGACAACAGGCTGACAAGTGCAACAGGCTGACAAGTGGAACAGGCAGACAACAGGCTGACAAGTGCAACAGGCTGACAAGTGGAACAGGCAGACAACAGGCTGACAAGTGGAACAGGCAGACAACAGGCTGACAAGTGGAACAGGCAGACAACAGGCTGACAAGTGCAACAGGCTGACAAGTGGAACAGGCAGACAACAGGCTGACAAGTGCAACAGGCTGACAAGTGGAACAGGCAGACAACAGGCTGACAAGTGGAACAGGCAGACAACAGGCTGACAAGTGGAACAGGCAGACAACAGGCTGACAAGTGGAACAGGCAGACAACAGGCTGACAAGTGGAACAGGCAGACAACAGGCTGACAAGTGGAACAGGCAGACAACAGGCTGACAAGTGCAACAGGCTGACAAGTGGAACAGGCAGACAACAGGCTGACAAGTGCAACAGGCTGACAAGTGCAACAGGCTGACAAGTGGAACAGGCAGACAACAGGCTGACAAACCGTAAGCTCAAAAAAAAAAATGTCCTGTCCTTCCATCTCTATAATCTGTTTATATTTGTAGTCTATTCATAACAGACCACAAAATCAAGTCTATCTCTAGAGTATCCATGTCAGACCACATGTTAAGTCTATATCTAGAGTATCCATGTCAGACCACATGTCAAGTCTATCTCAAGAGTACTTATGTCAAACCACATGTCAAGTCTATCTCTAGAGTACTTATGTCAAACCACATGTCAAGTCTATCTCTAGAGTACTTATGTCAAACCACATGTCAAGTCTATCTCTAGAGTATCCATGTCAGACTACATGTTAAGTGTATCTTTAGAGTATCCATGTCAGACCACATGTCAAGTCTATCTCTAGAGTACTTATGTCAAACCACATGTCAAGTCTATCTCTAGAGTATCCCTGTCAGACCACATGTCAAGTCTATCTTCAGAGTATCCATGTCAGACCACATGTCAAGTCTATCTCTAGAGTATCACTGTCAGACTACATGTCAAGTCTATCTTTAGAGTACTTATGTCAAACCACATGTCAAGTCTATCTCTAGAGTATCCCTGTCAGACCACATGTCAAGTCTATCTTTAGAGTATCCCTGTCAGACCCAAACAGTTTGATAGCTATAAAGTACAATCAATGAACATTTCTTCACTTCCTCTTTTACCAGTCAGTGTGTCAAGGCAGATATAAGGTTCTGCTTCTGGCCGCCTTCACTAAAGACACACCATGCTGTTGTAGTTTCTCTGATATTATCTTTCCATCTTGCAAACGCTCTACATTTTGCTCTCTATCCTTTTCTTTTACTGTATGCCTTTGTCAACTATTTGATTTACTGTCTTTGTGATTTTGAATCGGTTCTGTGTCAATTTCTTTCTTATTACCTCTTTTCTGAATGTATCACTTCTGGTCACTAATACTGTCCTCATACATCTGATTTCTGTGGTTACTAATGTATCACTTCTGGTCACTACTGCTGTCCTCATACATCTGATTTCTGTGGTTACTAATGTATCACTTCTGGTCACTACTGCTGTCCTCATACATCTGATTTCTGTGGTTACTAATGTATCACTTCTGGTCACTACTGCTGTCCTTCTCATATATCTGATTTCTGTGGTTACTAATGTATCACTTCTGGTCACTAATGCTGTCCTTCTCATACATCTGATTTCTGTGGTTACTAATGTATCACTTCTGGTCACTACTGCTGTCCTTCTCATATATCTGATTTCTGTGGTTACTAATGTATCACTTCTGGTCACTAATACTGTCCTCATACATCTGATTTCTGTGGTTACTAATGTATCACTTCTGGTCACTAATGCTGTCCTTCTCATACATCTGATTTCTGTGGTTACTAATGTATCACTTCTGGTCACTACTGCTGTCCTTCTCATATATCTGATTTCTGTGGTTACTAATGTATCACTTCTGGTCACTAATACTGTCCTTCTCATACATCTGATTTCTGTGGTTACTAATGTATCACTTCTGGTCACTAATGCTGTCCTCATACATCTGATTTCTGTGGTTACTAATGTATCACTTCTGGTCACTACTGCTGTCCTTCTCATACATCTGATTTCTGTGGTTACTAATGTATCACTTTTGGTCACTACTGCTGTCCTTCTCATACATCTGATTTCTGTGGTTACTAATGTATCACTTCTGGTCACTACTGCTGTCCTTCTCATACATCTGATTTCTGTGGTTACTAATGTATCACTTCTGGTCACTACTGCTGTCCTTCTCATACATCTGATTTCTGGCTTGTCTGTAGGCAGTCTGTACGGCTTGTCTGTAGGCAGTCTGTACGGCTTGTCTAGTCTGTGATGTGACTAGAGTACTTATGTCAAACCACATGTCAAGTCTATCTCTAGAGTATCCATGTCAGACTACATGTTAAGTGTATCTTTAGAGTATCCATGTCAGACCACATGTCAAGTCTGTCTCTAGAGTACTTATGTCAAACCACATGTCAAGTCTATCTCTAGAGTATCCCTGTCAGACCACATGTCAAGTCTATCTTCAGAGTATCCATGTCAGACCACATGTCAAGTCTATCTCTAGAGTATCACTGTCAGACTACATGTCAAGTCTATCTTTAGAGTACTTATGTCAAACCACATGTCAAGTCTATCTCTAGAGTATCCCTGTCAGACCACATGTCAAGTCTATCTTTAGAGTATCCCTGTCAGACCACATGTCAAGTCTATCTTTAGAGTATCCATGTCAGACTACATGTCAAGTCTATCTTTAGAGTATCACTGTCAGACTACATGTCAAGTCTATCTTTAGAGTATCCATGTCAAACCACATGTCAAGTCTATCTCTGAGTATCCATGTCGGACCACATGTCAAGTCTATCTTTAGAGTATCCATGTCAGACCACATATCAAGTCTATCTCTGATTATCCATGTCAGACCACATGTCAAGTCTATCTCTAATGTTGGACCACATATCAAGTCTATCTCTGAGAATCCATGTCAGACCACATGTCAAGTCTATCTCTGAATCCGTGTCAGACCACAAAATCAAGTCTATCTCTAGAGTATACACGTCAGACCACATATCAAGTCTATCTCTAGAGTATCCATGTCAGACCACATGTAAAGTCTATCTCTGAGTATCCATGTCCGTCCAAGGTCAGGTGAAGAGAGACACTTACTTGTCAGTCCGATTTCCAGGTGGTGACTGCTGGTGTGACTGCGGGGGCAAGTACTGGTGGTGATGTTGTTGGGAGTTGTGGTAGTGGTGATGTTGCTGATGGGTCATATGCTGTTGGTACAGTTGTTGTGGCTGGTTGTGGTGGCTTGGCTGCGAAGCCTGGTGATGTTGAGGTTGTTGTGGCTGGTTGTGGTGGCTTGGCTGCGAAGCCTGGTGATGTTGAGGTTGTTGTGGCAGCTGGTTGTTGTGCTGCACAGAATGGTTTGTCTGTTGCTGGTAATGCTGTTGTTGCTGGTGGTGGTGGTGATGAACTGGTTGAGGTGGTGGTTGTTGCTGGTGGTGGTGGTGATGCTGCTGGGGCATTAGTGGTGGCTGAATATGTTGGTGGTGCAGGAGGTGTGTATTGGGCGGGGGGTTGCTGGTTATGTGCGGGCTAGGTGGTGGGGGAGCCGAGCTGGTGGCAGGCACAGCTGCCTGGACCATGGCTGGATGCTGGTGCTGATGATGTTGGGCAGGCTGGTAGTGTGAAACAGGCAGGGGTTCGAGTCCTGATGGGTTTACCAGGGAAGTTGATGCAGCCGATGCCACAGTGTGTGGTTGGTGCTGAGTGGCTACCGGTGCAACAAACTTGTGGCCGGAAACCTGGGTGTGTGGGATCATTGCTGGGCTGACATCCTCCTGGACAAGAGCCCGCCGTGGCATGTATGCTTCCTGAGAAGGTGCCACACTGTTATCACCAGCATGAGGGCTAGCTGGGGGCGGTCCTGGCAGAGACATAGCCGAAGGTCGATCACTGGTGCGGTCTGGGTTATTCTGTCTGGTTCGCTGTGGTCTGTAGATAGAACAGTGTATGCTCCATTGTACATCTATTAGACATTTCCCACCCAACAACAGTTCAGACCATAAGCAGAAACATTTAAACAGAACAAATATGAGACCTAAACAGAAATGGGCACGCCATGCAATCTCAATAGACAGATACAGTCAAACCTCTTGAACACAAATGGGACCACTCATAAAATTTCCCTGCTGGGACAAACATGTTCATGTCAACTGTGACTGTCCTTCATACGCAAGTTTGTGTTAATGAGGTTTTATGTTACCAACATGAGGGTTTACACAAGTATGTGTGGAAGACTGTGTATCCATGGCTGCAGCATGACCTTATGGGGGGGGGGGGGGGGAGAGACAACCGAAGACAGGAGATATGTGCAGTCCTGACCCCTGGCCTGACTGCTAGAAACAGGGGGGACAACCGAAGACAGGAGGTGTGTGCAGTCCTGACCCCTGGCCTGGCTGACCTATAGCACTAGAGACCCTAGAGCAAACTTCCAAAACAGCACACACACACACACACACACACACACACACACACACACACACACAAGACAGACAATATCCTGATACCACAGTTGAAGGCTAACTGTTACTGTACCCAGATCAACTGTTACAGTGTCCAGCTCTTGCAAATACGAGATTTTTTGTTCTGGTACCAAAGATAGTTAGTTTATAACTGCACAACTGCATCTTGTTTGTTATTTTTCATCTGCACTGCTGCTTGTGCCAACCATACCCTGGCACTCCAGTTGATATTAAATAGCTGTGTTAATGAAAGAACCGATGGTATGGGACACTAATCAACACTGAACAGCTGTGTTCATGAATGAACCAATGGTGCAGGACACTAATCAACATTGATGGTAGGGGATAAATCAACACTAAATAGCTATGTTCATCAATAAACTGATGGTACGGGACACCATTCAACACTAAACAGCTGTGTTCATGAATGAACTGATGGTACGGGACACCATTAAACACTAAACAGCTGTGTTCACGAATGAACTGATGGTACGGGACACCATTCAACACTAAACAGCTGTGTTCACGAATGAACTGATGGTAGGGGACACAAATTCACAGTGAAAATCTTAGCCCAGTAGTTTCAGTGACACTCTAGCTCTCATTATGTACAGTATGGTATACTCTAACATATTGCTGAATACTGTAACACAGCAAATTGGAACTGGGATACACGTTGAGAAAAGATCAAACAGTTGATAATTGATCATAGCAATTGACGTTTAATCTGCTATGATGTCCTCTCCATCCAAATCATGTCAGAGGAAACATGTGTCTAAGCTGCTGGCAGTAACAACAATCTCAAGGGTGGACACTGTCACTGCATCCCACAACTGACACAAACATCACAAGTTACACAGTCACAGTGCCTTGCATTCCTCCTTTCCGTGTCGTCATGGATTCACTGGCCAGGTTTCTCCAGGTTGGGAAGTTGAAACAATCACACGCTCAATTCAGGATTTATTCAAGCACTTCAACCTCCAACAAAACCCGACTGGAACAAGACTAAACTAACTCAGTTTTTCCTGACCTGTATAGCCTTTTCCTTTTCCTTCTAGAATCTTCTCACATAAAACACGCACTGTCCACTTCTCAAGACGTGTGGCCATTTAAGCAAGATATGTGCTTGCTTTGTAAACTTTGTTTACTTCAACTCGACATTCAGTCTGCTTGCTCATACATCAATCTCAACACCACCCATTTAGCATAGTTGATGAAAATGAGAAAGAAAGGAGAAACTGACTTATAATAAAAGTAGTAAACTCACCTGTTGAACCGGTGCTGTTGGGTGCTTCCTGTAGACACCAAGTGTGCCCGTGGCATTGACGTTCGTATATGCTGTGGCTGGAGTCCATTGTTTTGCATAATCTGGAAGTGATAGGCAAAAGAATTATGTTAAACAAAGACAATCCCCAAACAGTTTGATAGCTATAAAGTACAATCAATGAACATTTCTTCACTTCCTCTTTTACCAGTCAGTGTGTCAAGGCAGATATAAGGTTCTGCTTCTGGCCGCCTTCACTAAAGACACACCATGCTGTTGTAGTTTCTCTGATATTATCTTTCCATCTTGCAAACGCTCTACATTTTGTTCTCTATCCTTTTCTTTTACTGTATGCCTTTGTCAACTATTTGATTTACTGTCTTTGTGATTTTGAATCGGTTCTGTGTCAATTTCTTTCTTATTACCTCTTTTCTGAATGTATCACTTCTGGTCACTAATACTGTCCTCATACATCTGATTTCTGTGGTTACTAATGTATCACTTCTGGTCACTACTGCTGTCCTCATACATCTGATTTCTGTGGTTACTAATGTATCACTTCTGGTCACTACTGCTGTCCTCATACATCTGATTTCTGTGGTTACTAATGTATCACTTCTGGTCACTACTGCTGTCCTTCTCATATATCTGATTTCTGTGGTTACTAATGTATCACTTCTGGTCACTAATGCTGTCCTTCTCATACATCTGATTTCTGTGGTTACTAATGTATCACTTCTGGTCACTACTGCTGTCCTTCTCATATATCTGATTTCTGTGGTTACTAATGTATCACTTCTAGTCACTAATAATGTCCTCATACATCTGATTTCTGTGGTTACTAATGTATCACTTCTGGTCACTAATGCTGTCCTTCTCATACATCTGATTTCTGTGGTTACTAATGTATCACTTCTGGTCACTACTGCTGTCCTTCTCATATATCTGATTTCTGTGGTTACTAATGTATCACTTCTGGTCACTAATACTGTCCTTCTCATATATCTGATTTCTGTGGTTACTAATGTATCACTTCTGGTCACTAATACTGTCCTTCTCAGATATCTGATTTCTGTGGTTACTAATGTATCACTTCTGGTCACTAATACTGTCCTCATACATCTGATTTCTGTGGTTACTAATGTATCACTTCTGGTCACTAATGCTGTCCTCATACATCTGATTTCTGTGGTTACTAATGTATCACTTCTGGTCACTAATGCTGTCCTCATACATCTGATTTCTGTGGTTACTAATGTATCACTTCTGGTCACTACTGCTGTCCTTCTCATACATCTGATTTCTGTGGTTACTAATGTATCACTTTTGGTCACTACTGCTGTCCTTCTCATACATCTGATTTCTGTGGTTACTAATGTATCACTTCTGGTCACTACTGCTGTCCTTCTCATACATCTGATTTCTGTGGTTACTAATGTATCACTTCTGGTCACTACTGCTGTCCTTCTCATACATCTGATTTCTGGCTTGTCTGTAGGCAGTCTGTACGGCTTGTCTGTAGGCAGTCTGTACGGCTTGTCTAGTCTGTGATGTGACTATTTTGTCTGTAGGCAGTCTGTACGGCTTGTCTGTAGGCAGTCTGTACGGCTTGTCTGTAGGCAGTCTGTAGTCAATGCTATGACTATCTAGTCTATGGCAGGCGTATCAAACTGAGGGTTTCCTAAAGGCCATCTTGGTCACATTTTATCACCATGAAAGCCACATATCATGTAATTTAATCACAATTTTTGCAGAATATTTACAGTCTGGCTGTGACTATTTTGCCTACAACTGTGATGCTTTTATCTTTGCTACAGACAGACTGTGCTTGATTATTTGAAATACAGTTGTTTCTATAACCCTTAACTGTTAAACAGAGGGATATTGTGCAAAATGAATAACCTAGTTATAATCTAGAATAATGTTGTTGATGGGCCCTATAAAAGAGACCCAGTAGTACGGGCTTTCTAGAAGTTCTAGGGGACCCTGGAAAGCCAGCTGTCGACCCAATCAGTGAAGAGCTATCTGATGCAATCGAGACTTACGGGGGAAATCCAGGAGAACCTAGTTAGTAAACAAGTTTTGAATGAGTAAACAAACTTTATTTTAAAATATGTCATAAACTAAGCATTCAGTCTTACATTCGGCCCTTCCAAACACACATCTTTCACATAGCAGTTGTATTTTATCAATAAGGCATGTAAACACACACAATACATATATACCTACCTACCTACATACAGGCATGCATACATATAGGCATACATGCATACAGACAGTCACACATAGAGACACTCTCGCTTATACATATATTCTTAAATATACTCACACATACACAAACACTCATATGCACACTATATGCACGTAAATACACACACAACAAACATAGTCACCCATTTATACACAGACACATCCATTCATGCGCAAACACCCATAGACACACACATACATTTATACAAACCTGTCAACACATACATGTAAATAAAACATATACATGTCACAATTACTCACCAATCCCGGCTCCATGGCTGCTGCCGGACCTGGCCAACTGTGTATCATCCCTGCCATGTAAGGCAGAAAGGATGCTTGTGGTGTCTGCAGACAACCGTTATCAGTAAATATAATCACTGCAACATAATACAACACATTCTAATTATGATCAGTCAGTAGCTTCTAACTGTACTCAGTTGATGCAGCCGTATTTTCCTGTGGCACTCCCCAAAGACATGCCTCACAGCGTGCAGCATTACTATGATTTGCTTTCCCCAAGATCATGGTTATGCATGGGGCACTGACGACCCTATAGCACAGTTCAAAGGGTTATGTATGGGGCACTGACGACCCTATAGCACAGTTCAAAGGGTTATGCATGGGGCACTGACGACCCTATAGCACAGTTCAAAGGGTTATGCATGGGGCACTGACAAACCTATCACACATTTCAAAGGGTTATGCATGGGGCACTGACAAACCTATCACACAGTTCAAAGGGTTATGCATGGGGCACTGACAAACCTATCACACAGTTCAAAGGGTTATGCATGGGGCACTGACAAACTTATCAAACAGTTCAAAGGGTTATGCATGGGGCACTGACAACCCTATAGCACAGTCCAAAGGGTTATGCATGGGGCACTGACAAACCTATCACACAGTTCAAAGGGTTATGCATGGGGCACTGACAAACCTGTCACACAGTTCAAAGGGTTATGCATGGGCACTGACAAACCTATCGCACAGTTCAAAGGGTTATGCATGGGGCACTGACAAACCTATCACACAGTTCAAAGGGTTATGCATGGGGCACTGACAAACCTATAGCACAGTTCAAAGGGTTATGCATGGGGCACTGATAAACCTATAGCACAGTTCAAAGGGTTATGCATGGGGCACTGATACACCTATCACACAGTTCAAAGGGTTATGCATGGGGCACTGATAAACCTATCACACAGTTCAAAGGGTTATGCATGGGGCACTGACAAACCTATCACACAGTTCAAAGAGTTATGCATGGGGCACTGATAAACCTATCACACAGTTCAAAGGGTTATGCATGGGGCACTGATAAACCTATCACACAGTTCAAAGGGTTATGCATGGGGCACTGATAAACCTATCACACAGTTCAAAGGGTTATGCATGGGGCACTGACAAACCTATCACACAGTTCAAAGTCAATTTTTGTATTAGAAATCAGAAACAAGATAGATAATTTACTGGTGACCCAAACAGACTATCAATGATTTACCTGCTGACAGTAAATATTTACAGGTGAAACCCAGACAGACAGGCAATGATTTACCTGCTGACAGTAAATATTTACAGGCAATGATTTACCTGCTGACAGTAAATATTTACAGGCAATGATTTACCTGCTGACAGTAAATATTTACAGGCAATGATTTACCTGCTGACAGTAAATATTTACATGCAATGATATACCTGCTGACAGTAAATATTTACAGGTGAAATCCAAACAGACAGGTAATGATTTAACTGCTGACAGTAAATATTTACAGGTGAAACCCAAACAGGTAATGATTTACTTGCTGACAGTAAATATTTACAGGCAATGATTTACCTGCTGACAGTAAATATTTACAGGTGAAACCCAAACAGACAGGTAATGATTTAACTGCTGACAGTAAATATTTACAGGTGAAACCCAAACAGACAGGCAACGATTTACCTGCTGACAGTAAATATTTACAGGCAATGATTTACCTGCTGACAGTTAATATTTACAGGTGAAACCCAAACTGACAGGTAATGATTCACTTGTTGACAATAAATATTTACAGATGACCCGACAGGTAATGATTTACTTGCTGAGAGAGTACATATTTACAGGTGATCCTGACAGACAGGTAATGATTTACTTGCTGAGAGAGTACATATTTACAGGTGATCTTGACTGATAGGAAATATTTGTTAACCATAACAGACCGTTGACCTGATTTTTCAAGAATTTCTTAACCTGGCCCTATACTGCTGTCCCTAATTTTCGGCAATTTGCGTAGTGTATGATTAATATGTGTCACAGACTAAAAATAACTAGCCAATGGTTATCAGACCTCATGGATAGTCTTCCCAGATGTCGGCCCGCACGTGTTTGGATTGAATTTGTGTTGTTTTACGTGAAATAATTCTGAAAATTCACAATAAAACATGCGGCTGATGAACCAAGCACCTCAACAGGAAAGTGAAGTAGGTCTAGGCTTTTCACAGTCCAACAGGTGATCAAAACTTTGGTTTATTCAGACTCTGTAGAGTCATAATTTCATGAACAATACGTTCACAGTTGAAGTGACACATTCAGTGAGAGCTCGAATGATGAGAAGAATCTTGAAAATTATAAATCTAGAAATAGATCGATAGTAGGAAAGGGGGACGTGTCCCTCAAACAGCAACACCTGGTGTTCACTTTGTGAAACAAAGCTGATCATCCCAAGTGGATTGGCACACAAAGGTGGAATATTGGCGCTAGATAAAAGGTGAGCCTATTTTCTACAATGTCTCCAAGTTTGATCTTATTATAACATTTTGTTTGCATGTAACTAATATTTTTGTATATCATGTTGGTTTTCTCACGTTAATGCCCAGGAGCTCAGGTATAGGGGGCAGTTAGGTTCAGGACCTCAGGTCTGGTAGGGTTAAGTGATCCAGATAGGCAGGTAATGCTGACTTACCTGCTGATAGTAAATATTTGTAGGTTATCCAGACAGGCAGGTAATGCTGACTTACCTGCTAACAGTAAATATTTGTAGGTGATCCAGACAGGCAGGTAATGCTGACTTACCTGCTGATAGTAAATATTTGTAGGTGATCCAGACAGGCAGGTAATGCTGACTTACCTGCTGATAGTAAATATTTGTAGGTGATCCAGACAGGCAGGTAATGCTGACTTACCTGTTGATAATAAATATTTGTAGGTGATCCAGACAGGTATGAATGCAGCTGCATAGCGTTAAACGGCTGTATCAGAGGCTGTGGCTGCTGAGCTTGTGGCTGGGCGATTGTGTTCTGCACTGCATGAACTGAGGCTGTGCCCACGGCAGCCACCTGGTTCTGGTATGCTAGCCTGCGTTGACTAGAGTCTTCCATGGAGGGAAAGTAGCCAGCGGCAGCCAGTGTCCCTGACGATTTGATGCAGCACTGAAACAAACAAATGATGTTACAATCAGCTGATGTCACCTGTTCTATCTACTAGAGAGCTGGGCTCATTTCTATCTAAAATCAAGTCTACATCTACAATCAGCTGATGTCATAAGTTCTATCTATTAGTGAACCTAGCTCATTTCTACCTAAAATCAAGAGCTGATGTTATAAGTTCTACTTACTAGAGAACCTGGCTCATTTCTCCCTACTATTTAAAGTCTACAATCAGCTGATGTCACCTGCTCTATCTACAATCTAGAGTCTACCATCAGTAAATGTCTGTTCTATCTACAATCTAGAGTCTAGCATCAGCTAATACCATCTGTTCTATCTACAATCTAGAGTCTACCATCAGCTAATGTCTGTTCTACCTACAATCTAGAGTCCACCATCAGCTAATGTCTGTTCTATCTACAATCTATAGTTACCATCAGCTAATGTCTGTTCTATCTACAATCTATAGTTACCATCAGCTAATGTCAGTTCTATCTACAATCTAGAGTCTACCATCAGCTAATGTCTGTTCTATCTACAATCTAGAGTCTACAATCAGCTACTGTTATCTGTTCTATCTACAATCTAAAGTCTACCATCAGCTAATGCCATCTGCTCTATCTACAATCTAAAGCCTACCATCAGCTATGTCATCTGCTTTATCTACAATCTAAAGCCTACTATCAGCTGATGCCATCTGTTCTACCTACAATTTAAAGTCTACCATCAGCTGATGTCATCTGCTCTATATACAATCTAAAGCCTACTATCAGCTAATGCCATCTGTTCTACCTACAATCTAAAGCCTACTATCAGCTAATGCCATCTGTTCTACCTACAATCCAAAGTCTACCATCAGCTGATGTCATCTGCTCTACCTACAATCAGCTGATGTCATCTGCTCTATCTACAATCTAAACCCTACTATCCGCTGATGTCATCTGTTCTACCTACAATCTAAAGTCTACCATCAGCTGATGTCATCTGCTCTATCTACAATCTAAAGCCTACTATCAGCTGATGTCATCTGCTCTACCTACAATCTAAATACCATCAGCAAATGCCATCTGTTCTACCTACAATCTAAAGTCTACCATCAGCTGATGCCATCTGTTCTACCTACAATCTAAAGTCTACCATCAGCTGATGTCATCTGCTCTATCAACAATCTAAAGTCTACCATCAGCTGATGTCATCTGCTCTACCTAAATCTCGAATCTACTGATATCATCTATTCTATCTACCAGAGAGCCACATTTCTGCTTAATCTGTATACTGTACAGTGAGCAAATTGTTCATGATTCTGACTATTCTAAATGATTTGAGCCAACCATTGTATACCAGCCTATATTCCAGATGATACATTTGAGCCAACCATTGTATTCTCTTCTATATTCCAGACGATACATTTGAGCCAAACATTGTATTCTTGTCTATATTCCGGATGATACATTTGAGCCAACCATTGTATCCCAGCCTATATTCCAGACAATATATTTGAGCCAACCATTGTATCCCTGTCTATATTCTAGATGATACATCTGAGCCAACCATTGTATCCCAGCCTATATTCCAGACGATACATTTGAGCCAACCATTGTATCCCTGTCTATATTCTAGATGATACATCTGAGCCAACCATTGTATCCCAGCCTATATTCCAGACGATACATTTGAGCCAACCATTGTATCCCTGTCTTTATTCCAGACGATACATTAGAGCCAACCATTGTATCCCTGTCTATATTTTATATGATACATTTGAGCCAACCCTTGTATTCCTGTCTATATTCTTTATGATATATTTAAGCCAACCATTGTATCCCTGTCTATATTCTTCTTCTTTTCTTCTTCACGTTCACCAGCTGTACACTCTGGCGGAAAGTTCTGCTTGTTTGTCCACTACTGAACTGCAGTCCTGCTCTAGAACCTGAGTGTTACGTGTGCATCAGTTTTACAGATCTCATTCTCTTGAATACAGACTGTTGGTTCCTTGCCTCTCCGGCAGATGCACTCCGACTTCAAAGGAAGCTCCCCAATTAGTCGACTCTTACGACATGCTTTTGGGTAGGCAGTGGGTCTATTCTTGTTTTCCCCTACAATGGGGCCCCGGAACCCATTGGGGGGGGGGGGGGGGGGGGGGGTGGTCTATATTCTATATGATACATTTGAGCCAACCCTTGTATTCCTGTCTATATTCTATATGATATATTTAAGCCAACCATTGTACCCCTGTCTTTATTCTATATGATACACTTGAGTCAACCCTTGTATGCCTGTCTATATTCTACAAGATACATTGGAGTCAACTGTTCTGGGAATGAAATGGGCAAAAGACAAACAGATTAACACAGGAACATAAACCCAGTACTGGTCTGCTATCATGACAACAGCTGGCTCTACTCACCCCAATCGTGTGCCCCTTGTAGACGGCCTTCTGGTTATGAAACAGAAAGAAGCTGTTGAGGGCAGCTGATTCATCCCTAAAGCTGACGTACCACACAGAATAATTATCCTTGAACATGACAAACTCAATGTGGGTTGGTGAATCGGCTCCCATCTCAAGGGTAAACTGCCGAACATCCTGCAACATACAAGACAATACTGAATGCATGCATAACACAAATATCCTTGTTGATCTCTGAGGCATTCAATCAGGGAATGCATCGTACACCTGACAAGTATCTAGGGAATTATTTGTCCATCGGGGAATGCATTGTACACCTGACAAGTATCTAGGGAATTATTTGTCCACCGGAGAATGCATCGTACACCTGACAAGTATCTAGGGAATTATTTGTCCATCAGGGAATGCATCATACACCTGACAAGTATCTAGGGAATTATTTGTCCATCGGGAAATGCATTGTACACCTGACAAGTATCTAGGGAATTATTTGTAAATCGGGGAATGCATCGTACACCTGACAAGTATTTGGGGAATTATTTGTCAATCAGGGAATGCATCATACACCTGACAAGTATCTAGGGAATTATTTGTCAATCGGGGAATGCATCGTACACCTGACAAGTATCTAGGGAATTATTTGTCCATCGGGGAATGCATCGTACACCTGACAAGTATCTAGGGAATTATTTGTCCATCGGGGAATGCATCATATGCCTGACAAGTATCTAGGGAATTATTTGTCCATCGGGGAATGCATCATATGCCTGACAAGTATCTAGGGAATTATTTGTCCATCGGGGAATGCATCATACACCTGACAAGTATCTAGAGAATTATTTGTCCATCGGGAAATGCATCGTACACCTGACAAGTATCTAGGGAATTATTTGTCCATCGAGGAATGCATCGTACACCTGACAAGTATCTAGAGAATTATTTGTCAATTGGGAAATGCATCATACACCTGACAAGTATTTGGGGAATTATTTGTCAATCAGGGAATGCATCATACACCTGACAAGTATTTAGGGAATTATTTGTCAATCAGGGAATGCATCATACACCTGACAAGTATCTAGGGAATTATTTGTCAATCGGGGAATGCATCGTACACCTGACAAGTATCTAGGGAATTATTTGTAAATCGGGGAATGCATCGTACACCTGACAAGTATCTAGGGAATTATTTGTCCATCGGGGAATGCATCGTACACCTGACAAGTATCTAGGGGATTATTTGTCAATCGGGGAATGCATCGTACACCTGACAAGTATCTAGGGAATTATTTGTCCATCGGGGAATGCATCGTACACCTGACAAGTATCTAGGGAATTATTTGTCCATCGGGGAATGCATCATACGCCTGACAAGTATCTAGGGAATTATTTGTCCATCGGGGAATGCATCATACACCTGACAAGTATCTAGAGAATTATTTGTCCATCGGGGAATGCATCATACACCTGACAAGTATCTAGGGAATTATTTGTCCATCGAGGAATGCATCATACACCTGACAAGTATCTAGGGGATTATTTGTCCATCGGGAAATGCATCGTACACCTGACAAGTATCTAGGGGATTATTTGTCAATCGGGGAATGCATCGTACACCTGACAAGTATCTAGAGAATTATTTGTCAATTGGGAAATGCATCATACACCTGACAAGTATTTGGGGAATTATTTGTCAATCAGGGAATGCATCATACACCTGACAAGTATTTAGGGAATTATTTGTCAATCAGGGAATGCATCATACACCTGACAAGTATCTAGGGAATTATTTGTCAATCGGGGAATGCATCGTACACCTGACAAGTATCTAGGGAATTATTTGTCCATCGGGGAATGCATCGTACACCTGACAAGTATCTAGGGAATTATTTGTCCATCGGGGAATGCATCGTACACCTGACAAGTATCTAGGGGATTATTTGTCAATCGGGGAATGCATCGTACACCTGACAAGTATCTAGGGAATTATTTGTCCATCGGGGAGTGCATCATACACCTGACAAGTATCTAGGGAATTATTTGTCCATCGGGGAATGCATCGTACACCTGACAAGTATCTAGGGAATAATTTGTCCATCGGGGAATGCATCATACACCTGACAAGTTTCTAGGGAATTATTTGTTAATCGGGGAATGCATCGTACACCTGAAAAGTATCTAGGGAATTATTTGTCCATCGGGGAATGCATCGTACATCTGACAAGTATCTAGGGGATTATTTGTCAATTGGGGAATGCATCGTACACCTGACAAGTATCTAGGAATTATTTGTCCATCGGGGAATGCATCATACACCTGGCAAGTATCTAGGGAATTATTTGTTAATCTTACACTCATATGCCTAGGATTTCCCCAAATGCAAATCATGGCTGCCCACTCTTACTGACACAGCACATGTGATGTACAGCAGGGTCAACCCAAACATGAAGCACCACAATAGGTCAGGTACACTCAACAAGTTATCAACCACAATAGGTCAGGTACACTCAACAAGTTAACAACCACAATAGGTCAGGTACACTCAACAACCACAATGGGTCAGGCACACTCAACAAGTTAACAACCACAATAGGTCAGGTACACTCAACAAGTTAACAACCACAATGTATCTGGTGAAGGTAACATACTCCGCCAACCAGTTTCCCCCGATACCTCCACATCACAACTGCTCAATTTCCCACAGCTCCCTCTGTGCAACGTAAAGACACGCCAAGGAGTGGGCCACAACTTCGTCAACCCCCAACACACAGACACAACTATCTATTCTGGAAACCACACCGACAGCAATCTGACGTACAACTTATTATCCACCACATTCACTGGACAGTTCACAGCCCCAATGGAATAAAACAGTGTTAAAACTGTCACACAAGTCCCTGCGACTTGAACAATTTGTACACACGCCTAAACATGCAGACTGACTGGAAGCGACTGAAAGATACTAGGGGCTCATGTTTCCCCAGCTTTGTGGCTCCTGTGTCAGGCAAATCATCAATAAAGTGCACCATGCATCACCAAACTCTAGCTTCAAATCTGTACACACTAGAGTGGCTTTTGCATACAACAACCTCACACATTCATGCATATCAATAACAAATGAGAAATCAAATGATGATTACATGTGTCCCTGGTTACAGTGTGTCCAACATGGGGGACAATTATACATATGAACACAGAGGCAAACAACAACACAGCAAGTCATGGTAATGGCCACAGCAATCAGTGTTCCCTACAGCAGACTGGTATTTCTGCAAGTGTCTGCCCTTGATATCTGCCTGTGAATCAACAGTTCACTGAAAGAAATAAGAGGTGCATTTCTTTCTCTCTGACTTAGTTAATTCTCCTCTACCCTAGAGTTTACATCAGTACAATGTGAGTACTGTAGTATGTAGTCACCGCCTGAGAGCCGGCATCTGACCTCCAGCCATCCACATCTAATGGATATGTTGCTTATCTTCTAGATCAGGCAGCTGGCTAATGGAAGACACTGCTCTTGAGTAGAACAGAAATGGTAGCCCAGTTATCCACGCCCAAGTCCCTGTGCTAGCATGAAATAACATGTCAGACACGATTCAACAAAATGACTTACATCCTCTGTGGTTGACTGGGGGAATCCTCTCAGGGTCAGGGTTTTACGGCACTGAGACACCCTCACCTTCTTGCGATCCTCAGAGAGCTCCAGCACAGAGATGGCTGTAAATACACATACAAACAACACTGAATGTAACTAGCATCAGACAACACATTCAACCCAGTAACTCCAACAAACAAAGACCTGACATCTGCTCAAACGATTACCTGACATCTGCTCAAACGATTACCTGACATCTGCTCAAATGAAGACCTGATATCTTGCTCAAACGAAGACCTGACATCTGCTCCAACAAACAAAGACCTGACATCTGCTCAAACGATTACCTGACATCTGCTAAAATGAAGACCTGATATCTTGCTCAAACGAAGACCTGACATCTGCTTCAACAAACAAAGACCTGACATCTGCTTCAACAAACACAGACCTGACATCTGGTCCAACAAACACAGATCTGACATCTGCTCCAACAAACACAGATCTGACATCTGGTCCAATAAAGACCTGACTTCTGTTCCAAAAAACAAAAGATCTGACCTCCCTACACAGCCCCTAGCTGTCTGCCTGACCTCCACAGAGCCTATAGCTGGCCATGAGAGTTGCACAATACACAAACTCTGTAGCTGCAGCAACAGTTTTTGTGGACTGCTAAATGACATGCAATTACTAACTCAAAGAGGCAGTCGGGCTAAATCCATAATTCCAGCGCCAAGCAATCTGTCAAACTATTTCACACCCCCCCCCCCCAACCACTTACTCTCCAAAGCTTTAGTCTATGCTGTTACAGATAGGCTTGATGCGCCCAAAGTCCCCCCTCCCCCCACAGCTTTAGTCAGCAGGTCTATGCTGTTACAGATAGGCTTGATGCGCCCAAAGTCCCCCCTCTCCCGCAGCTTTAGTCAGCTCTATGCTGTTACAGATAGGCTTGATGCACCCAAAGTCCCCCCTCTCCCGCAGCTTTAGTCAGCTCTATGCTGTTACAGATAGGCTTGATGCACCCAAAGTCCCCCCTCTCCCGCAGCTTTAGTCAGCTCTATACTGTTACAGATAGGCTTGATGCGCCCAAAGTCCCCCCTCCCCCCACAGCTTTAGTCAGCAGGTCTATGCTGTTACAGATAGACTTGATGCGCCCAAAGTCCCCCCTCTCCCCACAGCTTTAGTCAGCAGGTCTATGCTGTTACAGATAGGCTTGATGCACCCAAAGTCCCCCCTCTCCCACAGCTTTAGTCAGCAGGTCTATGCTGTTACAGATAGGCTTGATGCGCCCAAAGTCCCCCCTCCCCCCACAGCTTTAGTCAGCTCTATACTGTTACAGATAGGCTTGATGCGCCCAAAGTCCCCCCTCCCCCCACAGCTTTAGTCAGCAGGTCTATGCTGTTACAGATAGACTTGATGCGCCCAAAGTCCCCCCTCTCCCCACAGCTTTAGTCAGCAGGTCTATGCTGTTACAGATAGGCTTGATGCACCCAAAGTCCCCCTCTCCCACAGCTTTAGTCAGCAGGTCTATGCTGTTACAGATAGGCTTGATGCGCCCAAAGTCCCCCCTCCCCCCCACAGCTTTAGTCAGCAGGTCTATGCTGTTACAGATAGGCTTGATGCACCCAAAGTCCCCCTCCCCCCACAGCTTTAGTCTATGCTGTTACAGATAGGCTTGATGCGCCCAAAGTCCCCCTCCCCCCACAGCTTTAGTCAGCAGGTCTATGCTGTTACAGAAAGGCTTGATGCGCCCAATGTCCCCCCTCCCCCCACAGCTTTAGTCTATGCTGTTACAGATAGGCTTGATGCGCCCAAAGTCCCCCCTCCCCCCACAGCTTAAGTCTATGCTGTTACAGATAGGCTTGATGCGCCCAAAGTCCCCCCTCTCCCGCAGCTTTAGTCAGCAGGTCTATGCTGTTACAGATAGGCTTGATGCGCCCAAAGTACCCCCTCTCCCGCAGCTTTAGTCAGCAGGTCTATGCTGTTACAGAAAGGCTTGATGCGCCCAATGTCCCTCCCCCCCACTTACTCTCCCGCAGCTTTAGTCAGCAGGTCTATGCTGTTACAGAAAGGCTTGATGCGCCCAATGTCCCTCCCCCACACTTACTCTCCCGCAGCTTTAGTCAGCAGGTCTATGCTGTTACAGAAAGGCTTGATGCGCCCAATGTCCCTCCCCCACACTTACTCTCCCGCAGCTTTAGTCAGCAGCTCTATACTGTTACAGAAAGGCTTGATGCGCCCAAAGTCCCCCCTCCCCCACTTACTCTCCACAGCTTTAGTCAGCAACTCTATACTGTTACAGATAGGCTTAATGCGACCAAAGTCCAGAAACAGCTCCAGGGGGATGTACTTGTCCAAGTCCATGTGTTGGTTGAGAAACTTGTCTCCAGGCAGGTTCTCACTGTGGAAGAGAGACAAAATGTTTGTAGGTAATACCAGATCACATCTCAACCCCACAAACATGATACAAGCCCTAGAGTAAACGACAGTGGTGGCTGGAGTACTTTCCCCTGTGTTTTTCATGTCCAGAAAAGCCCCGGCCAAATGTCCATCTGTCCTGTCTGTAAGTTGTCCCCGCCTCCCCCAAGCTTTTTAGTCACAGTTCATTGGATTCATATCTGGGTAGTGCCTTGAATGCAATGACTACTGTTTTCACCACTGTTTAGAAGTCCTAAACCTGAGATCACATAAGCCTGCCATCACACATCAAAGGCTCTCCTGATCTTTCAAACTGGACTCTTTCCCCTGACCTCCAGTAGACATTCCAATGTGGACTCTTTCCCTGACACTCAGTAGACATTCCAAGGTGGATTCTTTTACCGGACCTCCAGTAGGCATTCAAAGGTGGACTTTCACCTGACCTCCAGTAGACATTCAGAGGTGGACTCTTTCACCTGACCTCCAGCAGACATTCCAATGTGGAATCTTTCACCAGATCTCCACTAGACATTACAATATTGACTCTTTCACCAAATCTCCACTAGACATTCCAATGTAGACTTTTTCATCAGACCTCCACTAGAATTCGAATGTGGACTCTTTTACCAGACCTCCACTAGAATTTGAATGTGGACTCTTTTACCAGACCTCCACTAGACATTCCAACGTGGACTCTTTTACCAGAACTCCTGCAGACATTCCAATGTGGACTCTTTCACTAGAACTCCTGTAGACATTCCAATGTGGACTCTTTAACTAGAACTCCTGCAGACATTCCAATGTGGACTCTTTCACCAGAACTTATGTAGACATTCCAATGTGGACTCTTTCGCTAGAACTTATGTAGACATTCCAATGTGGACTCTTTTACCAGACCTCCACTAGACATTCCAATGTGGACTCTTTTACTAGAACACCTGCAAAAATTCCAATGTGGACTCTTTTACTAGAACTCCTGTAGACATTTCAATGTGGACTCTTTCACTAGAACTTATGTAGACATTCCAATGTGGACTCTTTCACTAGAACTCCTGTAGACATTCCAATGTGGACTTTTTCAACTGACATGACAAGTTGTGTCCCAAATAAAGATGACTTTTGTAAATGAAGGAATAGAGAAAGGCGACAACCAGAACATGAACAAGTGATAGTGAGGAGGGCAGGCACAGCAAACAGACTTACTTAGAGAAGTAGAACTGCATCTGTTTCCTGATTGGTGCCAGCAATTCTTCTGGATAATCTGGCAGATACAGAGGTATAGGGTTCAATACATGAACATGCTACAAACACAGAAGCACTTTTAGCAATGTGGATGAAATAAATGGCAATACCATAGGCTAAAATCATACACAAAAGTGACACATAAACATGGGGCGACAGTGAATAAGTATTAGAACATGTATGCACACAGATAAGGTCGCCACCGACACGCAACATGGGCTGACAGTGAATAAGTATTAGAACATGTGTGCACACAGATAAGGTCACCACTGACACACAAAATGGGCTGATAGTGAAAAAGTATTAGAACATGTATGCACACAGATAAGGTCACCACTGACACACATGGACTGATAGTGAATAAGTATTAGAACATGTATGCACACAGATAAGGTAGACACTGACACACATGGGCTGATAGTGAATAAGTATTAGAACATGTATGCACACAGATAAGGTAGCCACTGACACACATGGACTGATAGTGAATAAGTATTAGAACATGTATGCACACGGATAAGGTTACCACTGATACACAACATGGGCTGACAATGAATAAGTATTAGAACATGTATGCACACAGATAAGGTAGCCACTGACACACATGGACTGATAGTGAATAAGTATTAGAACATGTATGCACACAGATAAGGTAGCCACTGACACACATGGACTGATAGTGAATAAGTATTAGAACATGTATGCACACAGATAAGGTTACCACTGACACACATGGGCTGATAGTGAATAAATATTAGAACATGTATGCACACAGATAAGGTCACCACTGACACAACATGGACTGATAGTGAATAAGTATTAGAACATGTGTGCACACAGATAAGGTCACCACTGACACAACATGGACTGATAGTGAATAAGTATTAGAACATGTGTGCACACAGATAAGGTCGCCACTGACACACATGGGCTGATATTGAATAAGTATTAGAACATGTATGCACACAGATAAGGTAGCCACTGACACACAGCATGGACTGATAGTGAATAAGTATTAGAACATGTATGCACACAGATAAGGTAGCCACTGACACACAACATGGACTGATAGTGAATAAGTATTAGAACATGTGTGCACACAGATAAGGTAGACACTGACACACAACATGGGCTGATAGTGAAAAAGTATTAGAACATGTATGCACACAGATAAGGTCGCCACTGACACACAACATGGGCTGATAGTGAATAAGTATTAGAACATGTGTGCATACAGATAAGGTAGACACTGACACACAACATGGACTGATAGTGAATAAGTATTAGAACATGTATGCACACAGATAAGGTCACCACTGACACACAACATGGACTGTATTATAGTATGCACACAGATGAATGGAAGTATTATTAGAACATGTGTGCACACAGATAAGGTTGTCACTGACACACAACATGGGCTGATAGTGAATAAGTATTAGAACATGTATGCACACAGATAAGGTTACCACTGACACACATGGGCTGACTGTGAATAAGTATTAGAACATGTATGCACACAGATAAGGTCGCTACTGACACACAACATGGGCTGATAGTGAATAAGTATTAGAACATGTATGCACACAGATAAGGTCGCTACTGACACACAACATGGGCTGATAGTGAATAAGTATTAGAACATGTATGCACACGGATAAGGTTACCACTGATACACAACATGGGCTGACAATGAATAAGTATTAGAACATGTATGCACACAGATAAGGTCACCACTGACACAACATGGGCTGATAGTGAATAAGTATTAGAACATGTATGCACACATACAAGGTCACCACTGACACAACATGGGCTGACAATGAATAAGTATTAGAACATGTATGCACACAGATAAGGTCACCACTGACACACATGGGCTGATAGTGAATAAGTATTAGAACATGTATGCACACAGATAAGGTCGCCACTGACACACATGGGCTGACTGTGAATAAGTATTAGAACATGTATGCACACAGATAAGGTTACCACTGACACACATGGGCTGACAATGAATAAGTATTAGAACATGTATGCACACAGATAAGGACTGTACGCTCTGACATTTAAAATGAATTTAAATTGCCTGTTTCCTGGGTAAATGGATGTGTGTATATTTATAGGGATAGAGGGATGGGGGGGGGGGGGGGGGGGCACATAGGGGTGTGTACACAGGGATGGCTACATGGAGCGCGGTGGGAAGGGAGGGACACATTGGGGTGGAGGGGTGTGCACATAAGTAAGTACACAGGGATTAGCACACACAAGGTAGATGATGGGCACATAAGGTAGAGGGATGGGCACAGTTGACTGATGGATGCAAACAATCCAGTTATTTGCCAGGGAGTACCTACAGCCATATGTGTCAGGTGATCAAAGCTGATGAACAATTTCAGATCCCTTTAGTCATATTTATCTTACATGTTTTGAGGTTTCCTGATGACACATCTTACAAATGATACATGTGGACACACACCATAAGAGTGGCATACCTTTGTCGACACCAGCAGGCCCTGGCTGCACACCTGCAGAGGAAGTGTTCAAAGCTTCTTCTTCCATGACCATAGCTCCATTATGCAACACCTCACCATTACCTGTGTGCAGACAAGGCATGGGGTGAGAACCAAACATGTCCTCGTCAGCAGTAACATAACCATCAATGATAACACACCGTATGACAACCTCACAACACAGCCACACACAAACAAGCAACACATCTTTCATAAAGTTGTATAAATGCAGATAACTAATTAATGCTGAATACATCATGAGAGTTATCAGAGTATACTACCTCAAACAAACAAGCAACACATATTTCATAAATTTGTATAAATGCACAAAACATCATGAGCGGATAGAATCTCACATCTTTCAAAAACTTGCATAAATGCAGATAACATCATGAGGGGATACAACACAGCCACATACAAAGAGGCAACACATCTTTCATAAAGTTGTATAAATACAGAATACATCATGAGCACATACAATCTCACAACACAGACACACACAAACAAGCAACATATCTTTAATAAAATTGTATAAAGGCACAAGACATTATGAGCTGATACAAAGTCACAACACAGCCTTACAGCCTCATATCACATGACATGCACCAACAAGGTCAAGGATGCAGACAGGGCACCAGAGCATTAAACAAGGTCAAGGACGCAGACAGGGCACCAGAGCAGTAAACAAGGTCAAGGACGCAGACAGGGCACCAGAGCAGTAAACAAGGTCAAGGACGCAGACAGGGCACCAGAGCAGTAAACAAGGGTCAAAGATGCAGGCAGGGCACCAGAGACACAGAAACCTGACACACTGAAAGTCACACACAGACCTGACACACTGACAGTCACACAGAGACCTGACACACTGACAGTCACACAGAGACATGACGCACAGACAATCACAGAGACCTGACACAGACAATCACAGAGAGACCTGACACACAGACAATCATAGAGAGACCTGACACACAGACAATCACAGAGAGACCTGATACACTGACAGTCACAGAAAGACCTGACACACAGACAATCACAGAGAGACCTGACATACAGACAATCACAGAGAGAGACCTGATACACTGACAGTCACAGAAAGACCTGACACACTGACAGTCACACAGAGACCTGACACACTGACAGTCACACAGAGACCTGACACACAGACAATCAAAAAGAGACCTGACACACAGACAATCACAGAGAGACGTGACACAGACAATCACAGAGAGACCTGACACACAGACAATCACAGAGAGACCTGATACACTGACTGTCACAGAGAGACCTGACACACAGACAATCACAGAGAGACCTGACACACAGACAATCACAGAGAGACCTGATACACAATCACAGAGAGACCTGACACACTGACAGTCACACAGAGAGACCTGACACACTGACAATCACAGAGAGACCTGATACACAATCACAGAGAGACCTGACACACTGACAGTCACACAGAGACCTGACACACAGACAATCACAGAGAGACCTGACACACTGACAGTCACAGAGAGACCTGACACACTAACAGTCACACAGAGATCTGACACACAGACAATCACAGAGAGACCTGACACACTGACAATCACAGAGAGACCTGATACACTGACAATCACAGAAACGTACTTGTATGTGGTGAGTTGTGGTTTGAAGACCTCATCTGCTTGTGTAGCTGCTGGTGACCACCCATGTCCAGCCCAGAGAGAGCGTAGGCAGCCGCCTGATGCTGAGAGTTGACAGAGGCGGCCGCAGGCTGGTGGCTGTTGGGGCTGGACACCAACATGGCATGCGGCAGCACATTGAGGGCCAGAGATAGGGGGTTCTGCAGCTGGTGGACCAGCTGTGAGTGAGCGCTGGCGACACTTCCACCGGCAGGCAGTAGATAGCTGGCTCCACCCACCGACATGTCTCCGTTGCTTAGCAGCCCTGAAATAATTGGTTCAGGTGTACCATCAATCATAAACGCAACATTTAACTATATAGACAAGGAGTCATAAATAAAGCAACACAACTGTACATAGTAAATCATAAATAAAACAATATACAACTGTACACTGACAATGAATCATAAAAGCAAAAATATACAACTGTACATAGAAAATGTATTATAAATGCAACAATATACAATGGTATATAGACAATCAACCATAAATGCAACAACAAACAACGCTACACCGACAACATCATAAACACAGCAACCTACAACACACAGACAAAATCCTAAACACAGACAACATATGACTGTAGACAAAAACAGAAAAGCAGCAACAGGTAGGTGGAAGTAGATGAAGGCAAGGTCATATGGCACATACAGCAAAGAGAGGCATCAAATGTCTTGCAGTACCCGCAGTCAATCCTTCCATTCCCAATATGGAGCAATCAGTTCAATATCATGTACAAAATCCAGTCTAGCACCCTTGGCCCCTGTCATCAATGTTCATTTAAGGGTTTCTTTTAGGCATCCTGGCCTCCTCAATTCCTCTATTTCCCATCTCAATGCCTGTTTGGTGATTCTCCGCTGGTTTCTTGTCAGGATGTGTCCAGTGTAACGCCATCTTCTCAGGATGTGTCCAATGTAACGCCTCTCAGGATGTGTCCAATGTAACGCCTCTCAGGATGTGTCCAATGTAAGGCCATCTTCTCAGGATGTGTCCAATGTAACGCCATCTTCTCAGGATGTGTCCAATGTAACGCCTCTCAGGATGTGTCCAATGTAACGCCTCTCAGGATGTGTCCAATGTAACGCCTCTCAGGATGTGTCCAATGTAAGGCCATCTTCTCAGGATGTGTCCAATCTAACGCCTCTCAGGATGTGTCCAATGTAACACCATCTTCTCAGGGTGTGTCCAATGTAACGCCATCTTCTCAGGATGTGTCCAATGTAGCACAATCTTCTCAGGATGTGTCCAATGTAGCACAATCTTCTCAGGATGTGTCTAATGTAACGCCATCTTCTCATGATGTGTCCAATCTAACACCATCTTTTCAGGATGTGTCCAATGTAGCACCATCTTCTCAGGGTGTGTCCAGTGTAACGCCATCTTCTCAGGAAGTGTCCAATGTAACGCCATCTTCTCAGGATGTGTCCAATGTAGCGCCATCTTCTCAGGATGTGTGCAATGTAATGCCATCTTCTCAGGATGTGTCCAATGTAACGCCTTTCAATGTGTCCAATGTAACGTCTTTCTCAGGATGTGTCCAATGTAACGCCTCTCAGGATGTGTCCAATGTAACGCCACTCAGGATGTGTCCAATGCAAGGCCTCTCAGGATGTGTCCAATGTAGCACCTTCTTCTCAGGATGTGTCCAATGTAGTGCCATCTTCTCAGGATGTGTCCAATGTAGCGCTTCTAAGGATGTGTCCAATGTAACGCCTCTCAGGATGTGTCCAATGTAACGCCTCTCAGGATGTGTCCAATGTAAGGCCATCTTCTCAGGATGTGTCCAATCTAACGCCTCTCAGGATGTGTCCAATGTAACACCTCTCAGGATGTGTCCAATAACTGTTCTCTCAAGATTGTCAAATGTAGTGCAGGGATGTGTCCAATGTAACGCCATCTTCTCAGGATGTGTCCAATGTAACGCCATCTTCTCAGGGTGTGTCCAATGTAGCACAATCTTCTCAGGATGTGTCCAATGTAGCACAATCTTCTCAGGATGTGTCTAATGTAACGCCATCTTCTCATGATGTGTCCAATCTAACACCATCTTTTCAGGATGTGTCCAATGTAGCACCATCTTCTCAGGGTGTGTCCAGTGTAACGCCATCTTCTCAGGAAGTGTCCAACGTAACGCCATCTTCTCAGGATGTGTCCAATGTAGCGCCATCTTCTCAGGATGTGTGCAATGTAATGCCATCTTCTCAGGATGTGTCCAATGTAACGCCTCTCAGGATGTGTCTAGTGTAGCGCCTCTCAGGATATGTCCAGTGTAGCGCCTCTCAGGATGTGTCCAGTGTAGCGCCTCTCAGGATGTGTCCAATCTAGCGCCTCTCAGGATGTGTCCAATGTAGCGCCATCTTCTCAGGATGTGCGCAATGTAACGCCATCTTCTCAGGATGTGTCCAATGTAATGCCATCTTCTCGGGATGTGTCCAATGTAACGCCTCTCAGGATGTGTCCAATGTAACGCCTCTCAGGATGTGTCCAGTGTAACGCCTCTCAGGATGTGTCCAGTGTAGCACCTCTCAGGATGTGTCCAATGTAACGCCATCTTCTCAGGATGTGTCCAATCTAACACCATCTTCTCAGGATGTGTCCAATGTAGCATCATCTTCTCAGGGTGTGTCCAGTGTAACGCCATCTTCTCAGGATGTGTCCAATGTAGCGCCTCTCAGGATGTGTCCAATGTAACGCCATCTTCTCAGGATGTGTCCAATGTAACACCATCTTCTCAGGATGTGTCCAATGTAGCACCATCTTCTCAGGATGTGTCCAATGTAACACCATCTTCTCAGGATGTGTCCAATGTAGCACCATCTTCTCAGGATGTGTCCAATGTAGCACCATCTTCTCAGGATGTGTCCTGTGTAACACCATCTTCTCATGATGTGTCCAATGTCCTCTCAGGATGTGTCCCATGTAACACCATCTTCTCAGGATGTGTCCAATGTAGCGCCTCTCAGGATGTGTCCAATGTAACACCATCTTCTCAGGATGTGTCGAATGTAGCGCCTCTCAGGATGTGTCCAATGTAGCGCCTCTCAGAATGTGTCCAATGTAACACCATCTTCTCAGGATGTGTCCAATGTAGCGCCTCTCAGGATGTGTCCAATCTAATGCCTCTCAGGATGTGTCCAATGTAACGCCTCTCAGGATGTGTCCAATGAAGCTGCAGGTCAATGGTTCTCAACCTTGTTCTGGTGGTGTCCTTTCTGAATATATGGCAAGATACCCCTAGCACCCCCCCCCCCCAAAATTAATTTTTTTTATTAAAAACAAACTATGCACATGTTATCATATTAATTAGATTTTTTATGTGTATCTTCACAAATTCCGGAGTCACCGTGGCTAGACGCTGGCGCACTTGGGTTCGCTCGCTGGAGGTACCAGTTTTTTTTTCAAAAACGACCTTGACTCCAAGGTCGACCCAGCCTTGAGTGGGTACGGGTGCAGTCCATGGAAGTGAAGGCGGCCGGCGTGATGCTGACCACATCCCCCGATTGGTCTATTAAAATATAGGTCCAGCCCTATATGCCCTATTCGCCTGAAGGCGTGAAAAAGGGAAAAAAAAGGGACCTTTACTTTACTATCTGTACAAACTGCTAATGATAAGCTAAACATCCCTGGCTTTTTATTTTATAGTTTTAAACAATATTTTTATTTACAATTGAGTCAACCACAGATCCTGATGATGACTCACTGAAAGTGTTGACAACCAGTGCTCTAAGTCAACCACAGATCCTGATAATGACTCACTGAAAGTGTTGACAACCAGTGCTTTAAGCCAACCACAGATCCTGATAATGACTCACTGAAAGTGTTGACAACCAGTGCTTTAAGTCAACCACAGATCCTAATGGTGACTTACTGAAAGTGTTGAAAGCTGAAACAGTCTAGTACTAACCTTGGCGTGCTGCTTCTGTGCTGGCAAACATGGCCTCTGGTGGAGGCTTCTCCCCTCTTGGTGAATGGTTGAACATTGTCACTGCTGGGCTGTAGTTTATGGGTGAGGATAAGGCCTGCAGAAACAACAACAAAATCAGCAAGGGTGATGGCAACTAGTCACACCGAAAGCATCCTAGAATCACCAGATATCGCTAACCTCCATCTGCTCAAAATGGTTTTGTGAGGTGTGAACAGCTAGTTCCCATGTCCAGATACTTTAGGGAACATTCATGAACAACTGTTGCTGCCCTTACTAGTGGCAGTAGAATGACATTCTCATGAAGCTACTGGCGTTCCAGGAACCACACTAACACCTTCATCCGCAGTAATGTGTCACAGTAGCAAACTATTGCCATATGACTTCTAGGAGGCTTTGTATAGCTCATCTGGAACATGTAAACACTCAAAGCATGGAACAAAAGTTGAGTTCATTCTATTACAGCCAACTGATGAACATTGCACTCTGATGAGTCTGACTCAGAGAATGTTCCATTGCTACCAAGAGCCTCTAAGTGATAAACTAATCTAGAAACATCATCACTTTCCAATTTGTTGGCAAACTGAACAAACTTTACAGTGTTTTCCTCAAATTCGGCTATTCACTGCTCTTGTGGCTGCAAAGCAATCGTAAACAAATTATCTTTCTAAACATAAAACTTTCTGAATTCTTTCTTCTACTAACTATAACAGCACTGAACACATAATTAAAATTTAAATTGTATACATATTGCTCCTGTAAAAAATATATGCTGGGGTAGGAATTAGAAATATATGACATGTTCTACTGGCTTAATTGTAAACCAGCTTTTCTGCCGTTGCTGTTCAGGGAAATTAATGCTGCAAGTCAAATCTGTCAAAATTTACAGGCCTGAAAGTGTTCAACAGGGTGGGTTAAAGAAAGGTAAACAAATAAGATTACTGTCTGGACAACCAACAACCACAAGACAAAGAAGGTGGTAATATACTAGGCATCTTCTGACGAGAAGCAGCAAACAGTAATATCAAGGCAAAATTAAGACTTAGAAAATGAGTACACTCAAATGAAACCTTAAGATGAATGCTAAAGACAGAGACCAAAGGTGCTGCATCCATGACACTAAAACAATACATAGGGTAGAATGGAATGTGATGCCTAATGACCCAGAAGGATAAGTAAGCAGCAATGTATCCCCCAGGATGTCACTGACATCTGGAGATTGGCCATATGTCACAAGTCAGCTGGTCACAATCTCACTCTAGCAAGTTAGTCTGAAGGATCACTAGAAATACTTACTATATGATTCTGGCAGAAGGCAGGAGCTGTGGGGTTCAAGTTTCTAGGTGAGCTTGGTGTCTGGAAAACACCGTAAACAAAAAGGATTTAATGGGCTATACAGTCCTGATATCATATATATACGTGGCTGGCACAATCAAGCCTTGAGTGAGCAGTCTATTTCTGCCAAGGGGCAAAGGCAAGTCAGTAATAACCACAAGACTACACACAGTCCTGATATCTATAAGTGGCTGGCACAGTCAAGCCTCGAGTGAGCAGTCTCCTGCTGCCAAGGGGCAAAGGCAAGTCAGCAATAACTACAAGAGAACAATAACAAGACTACACACATACAGATCACTGTAGCTAGCTAACTAGCTGTCGTTAGAAACTCAAAATATCCACCCTTGGCCACCTCGTGTGTGGCTAAGGTAGCAGCCCTAAATCACATTTCTGATTCCTGCCTGAGCTGGGTCTGTCACGGCTACCCAGCTGACAACAGTTACCATATTCTGAGAGATAAATATCACATATTCTGAGTCCAACACGGGTCTGTCACGGCTACCCAGCTGACAACAGTTACCATATTCTGAGAGATAAATATCACATACATTCTGAGCCCAACACAGGTCTGTCACGGCTACCCAGCTCACAACAGTTACCATATTCTGAGAGATAAATATCACATCTATTCTGAGTCCAACATCAACTTACTTAAAGGGCAAACAGTTTTCATGGCACCCTGCACCAAGCGGATAATGTTTAGCTATAATTGGCAGAAAACTAAAATTCCAGCGAGAAGCAAAAAGTTGCTGGCATGAGACATACACAGAGAAAACCAGGGAACAATACAGCTAGAATGTTCTTGCACTGGACCCACATGGTCAACCGAATAAAGGCAGACAAAAAACAGGGAGTCAGAAATTAGAGAGAAGCTGAAGAGAGGATTGTGGTGTGCTGCATGTGGTCGAGTGAATACATTTTACTGAAACTAGGCTGGCTGTTGAAGATGAGGATGGAGCACTTACAAGAATGTCCTGAGTGCTGTTATGCTGGTTCCAAACCCACCACAACATGTAGCAGTGCCATTTCCAAACCCAACACAACATGTAGCAATGCCAGTTCCAAACCCACAAAATGTAGCAATGCCAGTTCCAAACCCACCACAACATGTAGCAGTGCCAGTTCCAAACCCAACACAACATGTAGCAATGCCAGTTCCAAACCCACAACATGTAGCAGTGCCAGTTCCAAACCCACAACATGTAGCAATGCCAGTTCCAAACCCACCACAACATGTAGCAGTGCCAGTTCCAAACCCACAACAACATGTAGCAATGCCAGTTCCATACTCACCACAACATGTAGCAATGCCAGTTCCATACTCACCACAACATGTAGCAATGCCAGTTCCAAACCCACCACAACATGTAGCAATGCCAGTTCCATACTCACCACAACATGTAGCAATACCAGTTCCAAACCCACCACAACATGTAGCAATGCCAGTTCCAAACCCACAACATGTAGCAATGCCAGTTCCAAACCCACCACAACATGTAGCAATGCCAGTTCCAAACCCACCACAACATGTAGCAGTGCCAGTTCCAAACCCACCACAACATGTAGCAATGCCAGTTCCAAACCCACAACATGTAGCAATGCCAGTTCCAAACTCACCACAACATGTAGCAATGCCAGTTACAAACCCACCACAACATGTAGCAGTGCCAGTTCCAAACCCACCACAACATGTAGCAATGCCAGTTCCAAACCCACAACGTGTAGCAATGCCAGTTCCAAACCCACCACAACATGTAGCAGTGCCAGTTGCAAACCCACCACAACATGTAGCAATGCCAGTTCCAAACCCACAACATGTAGCAATGCCAGTTCCAAACCCACAACATGTAGCAATGCCAGTTCCAAACCCACCACAACATGTAGCAGTGCCAGTTCCAAACCCACCACAACATGTAGCAATGCCAGTTCCAAACCCACCACAACATATAGCAGTGCCAGTTCCAAACCCACCACAACATGTAGCAGTGCCAGTTCCAAAACCACAACATGTAGCAATGCCAGTTCCAAACCCACCACAACATGTAGGAATGCCAGTTCCAAAACCACCACAACATGTTGCAATGCTAGTTCCAAAATCACTACAACATGTAGCAATGCCAGTTCCAAAATCACTACAACATGTAGCAATGTCAGTTCCAAAATCACTACAACATGTAGCAATGCCAGTATGAAAGTCTGAACATGGTAGGTATGTTAAACTAGGATGTTACAGACGGGAAAGTTTTCAGAACTGCAACAGACAGGAACTATGGGAACAATGACAGCTGACTTACAGTAAGGCCATGAGAGACACTGTCTTGGGTCATCATTGTGAGGTGTGTGTTGGGAAATCTTGGAATCTTCACAGACAGCAACATGGACTACCCTGCAACAGGAAATATAACACCTCACAGGTAGTTTGTGTGGGTGTGAACACAAAACCTCACAGGTAGTGTGTGGGCGGACATAACTCGCAGGTAATGTTTGTGGGTGTGAACACAACTCACAGGTAATGTGTGTGGGCGTGAACAAAACAACTCACTGGATTGTGGGTGTGAACACAGTTAAAGCAGGCACCAGCCCAAATATGAGAGAAATGATCTGAGCACATCTCTAGCCATCCGGATATATTGCTGGGTGTAGTGACTGAAGCACTGATACTGCCACGTATGTCTTTATGGTGTACTTACTGAGTACAGGCTGTCTGACTTCGCAAGTCACCAGCTGTTGAGCAAATTCAGGTTACAAAAAGAGGAAGTCATGAACAAAGGAGACTACCTAGCAGATTACAGCTGAAATAACAGTGCCTGGAGTACAGATGTCAGTGCTGTACCCCCCTGGGTGACAACAGGGTCTAAATCTAGCAGGTGGAAACTTCCTGCGTGTGACCTGGACTAGAAGCACTAACAGCTTTGGAAATGAGAGAGACAGAGCATCTAACTAACCTAGCTGAGCAGTTCACAATCATTTAATACCAGTCAGGCATTTAACGCCACACAGAGTTATATTAACATGTTTGCTTGTCTGCCCAGTGGTCATGGGTGTCAATCCCCAAATAAGGCAGATATTTAAACTGAGATCTGCCAGGAACATTGGCAATGTGGGCAGTGTCTCCACGATGGACAGGCCAAAAGTAAGACCAGACAGAGACCCAATCCTCCTGCCTTCAGATTGATGACATCTAAGTCAAGGAAGACCACCACATTTTTAATGCTTTTCACTAGTTCTGTACCAAATAGTGATTTTTACTATTCAGCTGAATACTAATAGTGGGACCAACTATTCGGCCAAATATGAATAGTGCATCATCATCATCAGGTGCCTTGCCGACTGGCGTGGGCGATCATGCCTCTCCACAATCTGCTATCGCCTGCAGCATGTTCGTGTGCTGATGCCATGCAACAAGACATTCAAGAATCTTCTATCGTTGTCTTCCTCTATCCCTCCTTCCACAGATTTTTCCAGTGGTCACCAAATGTTTAATGTTCTATCTTCTCATAACATGGCTGAAAAATGACGACTGTCTCCTTCTGATGTCTGTGATTAGTTGTCTTTGGGCTCCTGCCTCTTTCAAAACCATCGTTCACTCGGCCGTTCATTCGATGTAATTTAATCGCACCTTCATATTCTCGTTAGCAATAACTTCAAATTTGATTTGGGCGAAGACACCCTGAAAGAACGAAAAATTCATGATCTCTCTCTCTCTCACAAACACACACACAGACACACTCACACACACTGTGGTTGGCATTTTATGCAGTTTGTACCATGCAACCGGGTTGCAGTTTCCCCTGCTAAGACAGACAGGCAACAGCAAATATTGTGTTAATGAGAGAGTTATTTCAGTCCATCACAGCGTAGGCAAAAACGGCAGTAAGGTCACCACTATTCGTAGTCGACCGCAACTATTCGACCGAATACTGAATAGTTATTAGAGACAAGAGCAGCTGATTCAGGAGAAATATGGAGATAATTACATTATATGCTAAAGTTAATAAACAGCTGAAAACCCTTGCAGCCGAACTTAGGTGTCAACATGCAACTGTCTCTGGTCATTCAATCTCTTAATATATAATACTGATGAGAGCTCCAGGTGTTCTCTACTCCTTTCAGTGACAAGAGAAGTAATACTAACTGCTAATAATAGTTATAGTATAACTAGCAACTACGGTGTTCGGAAATTAACGGTCTTTTTGGCAATTTCCGTTACCACGGAAACCATTCGAAACTTGTTTGGGAAATGTTGGCTGGGGTTTCGAGATGGGTCCTAATCTCTCATGAAATTTTGCGATTGGTGTGATTTTCACCAGCTATAAATAGCTGAAAACGGCGGGAACGAACCCGATTAACGGCGCATGTCTACGACAGCCGGATGTCCTCTGTTTTTCTGTTACAATCAGTTTGATTGAAAATAGCGGTAAGTATTCAAGGTTGGCTTTAGGCTTTAACATTACTTGACATGGTAATGCTAGTTATAATTGAATTCTCCATCCAACTTTACATTTGTATATAAAATTTCTTTCCTAGGAATGGCTAATTCGATTTACAGTGACATTTTTCAGGCAATCGCTATTGTGTGACTGTGTCTGAGAAAAATTGTCTGCCATCTTGTCCAATGTAAACAAATCAAAAACGACAGTGCGCAGTTTGGTTGCGCAGAGAAAACTTCTTGTTTCTGGGACGCAAGTTTTGTTTTAGCAGCTGTTTTTTTCCATCTCATCTCCACAAAAACCTACATATCTCAGCTCAGAAATGACATAAAAGCCTAAATGAGGTACCGTTGGAAAGAGATTGTTTACAGCTATCTAACTGTGCTGGTTTTATTGGTGTAGTGGGCATTTTAAAAATTTGACTAAAGCATCTATATCTATGCTATACTATAGCAATAGTAACTGTAATGTTACATATAGCAAAGACAGGCTTGGATGACCACCAGCACACCAAGTTAGCTCTAATCATCCAGCCAGTGGCTAGATTTACACTGTCACTGTCAGGCAAAACACAAATGGAAATGAAAGTAA